AAAATATTTTATCGAGCTGGGACGAGGAGCGTGTGAAATTCTCTCGCGGCGCGAGTAAAGTCGATCGGGTGGCTTTTTGACTATTGGCCAGTTTTTGATAAATATCTCAGAATCTAAGAGAGATAGCAAAATTGTTTTCATGACCTTTTTTATAACCCTCAATTAACTCTACAGAAAAGGTTTTGACAAAAATTTTTCTATCTCTTTTAGATTCCGAGATATTCGTAAAAAACTGGCCAACAGTCAAAATCAACTTAACACGGTTTACCGCTTCGCTACTGAATAGTCAATATTTCAGAAAACATTTTTCCAACTGTTCTCGTTTCTTTTGCTCTATAAACCAAAAGGATTTCAGCCGATATCGCAGGAAATATAACTGGAAAATCCAGTAATCCTCATGTTTTTTTCAAGAATTATGTAATCCGTGCAATGTTCTCGCATGCGCATTTCCATTTTGTGTTTTATTCATTTTTTTTTCCGAGGGTTGTATGCAAATAAACTCCACCTCTCACTTTTGTACGTGCCTATACCGTACATTTACCCCTATGGCGGTTTGCCATTCACGTCCTTATTTGAACCATCACTTTGATTATCGTCATTGGAGCGCATGTTCTGCATGTCTCATTCCGGCCGATCCTCCTACGCTGGGGAGCACGCGACCTTTCTCTCTTTCTCACGTATCCCCCGAGCCTTTCGGCCGACTCCTCTTCCTCCTTTCTCTATTTTGCATATCTCTGTCTTTCTCGGGGATCTCCCTTTCGACTGAGAGAACGCACCGCACTTCCGAGAAAGGCAGAAGCGATTAAGTGAATTTCCGGGTTTCTCGAGTGAATTTCGTGTTCACCGGTCTCCCTGTCACTCTAAATTTACGAATAATCACATCACTGCTTTATACGCCTTTCATAGGGTCTGTTGAAATTCTTTCATGGCTGTAACATGTTTTAGGGCATTTAAAAATGGGGTTTTGTTTTATTCTTGAAACAGGGACGATGGAACGGATATTTTTCATTTTGCAGCGTTGAAGACGGACTTCATGATTGTGTTATCGAAACATTTCATGCATGCAAAACCTCAAAATCAATGCTAAAAATGAGTGCTTGTTCATCTTCTAAAAGCAGAAAATTATGAAATCGACAAGACGATTCAATGCTCAGTTTTTGCTTCCGAATGGAAGCATTGTATTTGTCAAATCTGAAATTGCCATTTTTTTGTGTGATGCTGGCTGATTTTGGTCTCAGGAGTTCGAATATACTGTTTTTAGATGATGTCCGTATATATGTATGTATGGGAGCTTTTTTTCAAATTTACTTTTTCGACGATCACTCACAAAATAATCGTTGAAATCTATTCAATTGTGACTTAAAATATTCGTTTCGATGTTTTCTCGGTCGAGTTCGAAGATAGCGGCGATCGCATGATTTGCTTTGAAATTATAGCATTAAATAGCATTTAATCGAGGTTTAATCATGGTTTTGTCAGAATTTAGCCGGGGTTTAGTCGAGATTTAGTCGGAGGTTAATCAGGATTTAATCAACGTTTCGTCAAGATTTAATGAATGTTCAGTGGAAGTTTAAACCAGTTTAATTTTCATTTAGTCGGCATCTGTTAGATGTTTAACTAGGGTATATGGAGCTCATGTTAGACATTTGGGACATTTAGGGATCGTATTAAGGTTTCATGGCTGGTGTATCTTCTTCCCCAATTAACCATTCAAAAGAAAATTACCAATTCATTAGTAAAAACGTTATACTGGTTGCAAGTCCAGTTTAAGGAAAACTATTCAGGAGAAAAATAAAATTGAAATAATTTACTTACGACCGAGGCGATATCGATATTGATGTATCAGGAGCATGAACTCTTGTGATATCAAATCTTACATTCATGTTGTTTTCGCACAATCTGTCTAATTTAAAATAAATTCAGTTCACTAAAAAATTTTATTTCAAATTGTCTTTAGAAAAAAAATACTGAATTTTCCTGAGGTTTTAAACTTCAGAAAGAATTCTTATCAATTTCAAATTAATGACAGAAAACCGAATATGAACTTTTTTTGTTTTAATTCGATTAATCCATTCGGAAGCAAATTGATAATTTTTAGCAAAAAAAACTATACTTGATTTAGCCCTAAGCAATGGACCACCTGATTGTTTTCATGTGTTGAAAAAATGTACCAAATTATTTTACATTTAGACAATGCTCTCAAAACATGGAATTGTTTCCTCGAAAATTGGGTATATACCCTGGACTTTTCGTTCTATTCCATCAGGTAATGGTTCTAAGGGGCAAACTTTTGAGAACAATTTTACATAAATTAAAAGAATAGATGACATAAAAATTTGTTATTGAATTACCCATAATTCCGTGGTTAAATTTTTAGTGTTTTGATGCTCAAAACTAAATATTTTTTTACGCTACGAAAAACTGTGACTATTTCACGTCCAATATTGAAAAAAGCTAGAAAATTCAACGTAATCGATGAAATCGTCCTCGTATTTTTTTATGTCTCAATAAAATCTGCGAAGGCTACATTTTTTCTGAAGTTACACATCATGTTTATTGCCAACATTATAGTATCAATACTGTTTGTGATCAACAGTGATTCTAACAAAAAGTTGTCTCTCGTCACCAACTGTTGAACACCTTTGGACGAATCGTTGAAGCCGATTAAAGGCTGCAATTGAAAAGTTTCCGGAGTTATTCAACAGTTTCACATCCCCTTTGTTAGGCAATGGAATAAATGCACTTTTTTTCTTCTCCGTTTTTCTCCCCATCTTTCTTTTCCCATTATCTCGTTCTGTTACGACGCGAACGGTGCCATCTAATTTGAATACAAGATAAACAGAGTTTTCCACTCTACACTGAGAAAACAAATTTTTTTTCTCCAAATATTCATTTACTTGAGAGGAGCATTCTCAAAAATGAGAGGAGATTTCTTCAAAATCGTATTTCTCCAATCGAGTCATTTCTAGGCGAGCCTGATTAGGCTTCAATTATGACAATCCGATTAAAGTCTCCAATTGAAAAGTTTCCGTAGTTATTTAACAGTTTCACAGCATCCGCTTTGTTAGCTAATGGAATAAATGCGCTGTTTTTCTTGTCTTTTTGTTCTCCCCATCTTTCTTTCCTCATCATCTCGTTCTGTTATGATGTGAACGGTTCGATCCAATTGCAATACAAGATAAACAGAGTTCTCCACACTCTACACTGAGAAAAAACAATTTGTTTTCCAAATATTCATTTATTTGAGAGGAGCATTCATTTCATCAAAATCGTATTTCCCCAATCGAGTCATTCCCAGGTGAGCTTGATTAGGCTTCAATTATGACAATCATGTTGCTGTAGAGGATGACTATGTTGCACATGACTTTGGATGAACTCCTCCAATGATTAACCATTTTTCCTCAATTTCTTATTTTCTAGAGCGAAGAATTTCGATTCATTTGTTTGGGGTTGATAATTATTGAGGGAATTCACTTAAGATCATGGCTACCATAATCACCTCCAAAAGCAATATAATTGTCATAATTGAAACCTAATGAGGATTCCCTGTTAATGACTCTGAAGAAATACGGTATTGAAAAAATAAATATTTCTCTCAAGTAAGTGGATATTTGGCAAAAATAATTTTTTTTCTCAGTGTATCTGTTATCCCGAATGTACTCGCAGATATATCCAGGTCGTGACCCATTTTCGGATATGCTCTTGTGTCCCTGGTAGCATCGCAAATTGCATACAGATTCAGTTTCCCAACTTCCCCTCTGTCTCCCCCACTTACCGGAAAGAATAAGGGCTACACGCGAGTGAGCGCGCAACTTGGTAGGATGTAGGGTAGATGTATGAGGGAGGGAAAAAGGGAGCGGAATGGTATCCCGTACCAACCCCCAGATGGAATCGATACAGCCACCCCACGACGGTGAAATTACGCTGTAGAATTTTTCCTCTCATTCTAAGCATTAATGAACGCAGAAACAATTTCCATCAATAGCCCAGGGCGAGAACAAAATATTTTTCATTTTAATAAAAATCAATCTACTATTAGCCACGAATGAAAGTAAAATTAACTCAACAGAAGATCAAACGGACATGAAAAAATTTCTCTCGTTTTAAGCATCAATGAAGATAGAAACTATTTCCATTAATAACCCAGGGCGAGAGAAAAACATTTTTCATTTTAATAAAAATCAATCTACTATTAGCAGTGAATGAAAGTAAAAATAACTCAACAGAAGATCAAAGGGGCGCGAAAAAATGCTTCTGTTTGCAAAACAACGGGTAACTGCGTAGAAACATATGGAACTTTTAAACACAATCATCACGTGACAGTTAATTTGATTGCAGTAACGGGGACAGGAAACAAATAAACACAGTGGAATAATGATTGAACAAATTCAACGATTTAGCGATCTAAAACAGGAGTGAAAGAATTCCCTCACCGATGCGATGATCGATATTAACGCGACGTCTGCTTGTCGTCAAATTACGATTCCCGTCACGCGATTCAATTTATTTTACTCTAATCTGAACAAAGAGAAAAAAAATCTGCTGAATGTCCCCATTAATTTCCCCATAAATTCGAATCAATTGTACATTAAATCAAGTTGAATAATCCCGACTGGTGCAATTGATTGATAACGTGACAGTATAAAACAAATGTTTAGTTTCAAGTGAAAAAGAAGAGATGTACACAGCAGATTTAGCAGGATGTATGAAACGCTAAATATAGACGACTTCCTCAGTTTATTTCATTGAGATGCTGTTACGTTAAGAATTTCTGATAGTCTCTTTCGGCTTTTTGAGATTAAAAATAGGGGGAAATCTCGAGGACAGAACCTCGAGGTACGTTAGAAGATTCGAGTTGAATGTGAATTCATCGGAAGAAGCGAAAAACCTAAAACTGTTCTATATTTATAGAACTGCTGAATTGTTACCAAGTGGAAAGAACAATTGTTATTCAATTTTTTTACGTAAATCTTGTTTATCAATTCATCGTTTGGACTTACCCAAAATATTAAGTTGACGCAAACAAGCGTGTATTTTATAATCCCGTAACACTGAGACATCACCATTTTTTACCGGTTTTTAGCTATGGTTTTTGGAGATTATTTTGTCAATTAATTTTTTACCAAACTGGGATCAAGGGTGAGCAATCGTTCGCCCTCTGTATCTCGCTTAGATTTATTTGAGGATTTGGTCAACGGTGTTTAGGAGTTTATTTCGGTTTATTTGTTGTTTTTTTTCTTATGCGGAAAGACTGTGCTCACTAAGTAACTGCTTACACACAACTGAACTGAACTGATCGACGCTGACGCTCCGCGCAAGCTGCAGTTTGTTCAGTTTGGGATGTGTACTAGAATTTTGATGCGAGGCTGAGGGCTCGTGAGGCACGTGGCGCCATCCCTTGGAAAAGTGTTACAGTGCTCGGAATCAACATTAGCATTAGAGAAGGGTGAAAATTAAAGTTGCTGTTGTGTACCTTTTTTTCTATTTTTTTTTTTTCAATTTTTATCGTAGATGGCTTCAAGCATTAGCTGTAAAATAAGCCCATTATAATTGCAATTGACCATCTCAAACTTGAAATTCATTTTTTTTTCATTTTACACGTTGTTGAATGCAGTTTCACCGTTTTCGATTTGAAAAAAAAAACAACTACATTTTTCACTCAAAAAATGCAGGCGGCTGTATCTTCTAGAATTTTCTAGAAACTCCTTGAATTTTTTCGAAATTTCAAAGAACTTCTCGAATTACCTCGAAATGTCTAGAATTTTCTAGAATTCCGATAGATGGCGCTACACATAAGGACCGTTTTCCAAAATGACCCCTATATTGAAACCATAGACGTATCCACGTCAAAAAAATTAAATTGATTGACCATTTCATTTTCGAGAAATCATCATAGAAAGTTATTTTTTTCCCCAATGGATGGGACAAGTGAGATCAATACGCGAGACGTGGCAACATAATAAGACAAACCACGAATTCTGCCAGGTTAGGAGTCACACGAACAGAGAGACACACTGCGCGTGGTTGCCACAATGGACACCATTTGACGTTAGCTGTATGCGCACGTATTCATGTAGAGTACATTCATCGATGCGTGAGCCGAGTCGAACTGTACATCAGCAAAAGTTTTTGTTTTAACCCGGGTTCTTCGTTTAGTGGGATTCAGCGCAAAGCGTGAAAAATTTGAAGTGTGACTCTCTTGGGACAACAAGTACAACAACCTTAAGGTGTTTCGTGCGAAAAAGGTCAATACAGTAGACTCCCGTTAGAGTCACACTCAAGGGGCTGTTGGAGAAGTGAATTCGGGGAATGCGATTGTATTCACCTTCCACCACCACGCGCTTACTCCGGGTGTCATTTCTCAGAATCGACATTTTATTTTGCGAATTTCTGAGAATTCAAAAACAATGACTCCTCCAGGAAAAATCGGAGCATTCATTTAAAGGCTTTCGTAGGTAATGGAGTGGGGGGAGCGCTCGCTGGCCGAAAAATCGATATGAGGGGAAATGCGACTACAGTGCACTCTCCTTTATCCGCAGGCCTCGGGACTCGGTCGTGACGGCATTTCATGTGAAACGCAGATAAAGGAACATCCCCACTCGTCCAGTTTACAGCAGCATTAGAAGAGGGAAAGGGTCGGGAATAGTGGGGGAAATCATGGCAGTGGTTTACATTTGTGACCCACTGCGCATTTCATAGCGCATGACGTCAAAGAGAAGGATGCACGATAGATATGGAGTGGTGGAAGGTTTTTGAGGGGCAACAGGCCTCGAGGGGAGTGAGCGCAGATTACGGAGTCGGCGGATAAAGGAGAGTCTACTGTATAACGAATGTGACTCTAACGGGAGTCTACCGTAATGACATTCATCTGGAATTCATATAGAATGATTATAATCACAATTGAATTATCTATGAATTTTCCTAGATTTTTTTTGGATTTCCTTTTCAAGTTATTAACGATTGAAGTTGCTTCTTATACATAGGCTCTTATGGAGATTTTTCTGTTTAGCACAAAACGGCGTTACCATCTGAGCTGATAATATGATTTCATGCTAAATAGAAAAATCTCCAGAAGAGCCCATGTATAAGCAGCAAATTTAGGCATTAATAACTTGAAAAGAAAGTCTGAAAAAATTCTAGGAAAATTCATAGACAATTCAATTGTGATTATAAACATTCTATATGAATTCCAGATGAATGTTATTATCTACCTTTTTCGCACGAAATACCTTAAGGTGTTTCGTGCCAAAGTCAAAATAATGAAAAAAAAATTGGAAAATTCACGGGAGAAATGTCTGAGTATGCTGCATCATTGAAAATTTTTGCATATTTTTTCAGGTCTTAGTCTCAAAAAAAAAATGAAATTTGGATGTTTTTGTAAACCCTCTGACTATAACTTCCGAGGTTACCCCACTCTCAATTAGGAAAATTTCCATGGCACCTAAAAAATAATGAACTATTGAGGAAAAACTAGTGGGTGATAAATCAGATCTTTTTTGAGGACACGCAAAAGTTTTAATTTTTTTCAGAATTCATAAAAAAGTTATTTGAACAAATGATTCGGAAAATTATGAGTTTCTGAACAATTATGCCTTCACGCGCAGGCGCGTGATTTGAATGTCAGTGAACATCATGGGAAAGGTATGGGTTGGACCATGGACCTGAGAGAGAGAAAACACTCGACAGGTTTACCAACTCGAGATGCATTTTCCTATTATTTCAATAATTTGAAAAACATCCAATAAAAATGATTTGACACCTATAGGTGATGAGAAAAAACTCAATCAATCTGATGAATAAAATCAATATTCAAAAATTTTTCAAATGCACACTTAAATAGTTATTTGAAAATTGGAAAATTTCGTGTTCCGTGATTGAATCAGGGCTCGAGAACAATAAGACTCCCCTTCAGTGTCATCCCCCCCCCCTCGGTCATCAACACACGAAACGCCTTAATCTGTACACTGAGAATTTCTTTCCCTTAATTAGGAATAATGTTACCCACTTGAAACCATTGCCCTTGACTTTGGAATATTATATCGATTCAAGAACAATGTTTTCAACACTAAAAATTATGTTCTTAATTGAAGGAATATCGTTTTCCACACCATTGAAAAGAAGATTGAGTAAAATCAATGGACTCATTGATGTCAATTTAAAATTAAATGAAGCAAAATTTGTTGAGTAAAAAAAAAAGATTCTTTTTTTTCAATTCATAATTTTTTTAGAACAAACGGAATCAACTAATATTACTTTTTAATTTCCTCAGTTTTAATTGCATGAAGTGCATAATTGATTGCCGTCGAAGAAATCCACGTCCATTGATTGTTGATTGGATTGTACAATTCACCATGAATTAGTTTCGTTCTGCATCCCGCTGTAACAATTGACAAAACTATGAAATAGATATTTGTTCCTCATCGTTGGTGAAAAATTATGCGTAAATGAGAGTTACATTTCTCAAGGATGCGTTGAACTTCTTCAGGGGAAATGAATTTTTTCCAATCGTGAGTTCCCACCGGGAGGAGTTTCAGAATGTACTCAGCAGCTACTATTCCACCCAGATACGAGGGGATTGTTTTATTCATTGTGGTAATGAATATGGAACCCCCAGGCTTCACAGACTCGGCGCAGCACTATGAATGATCATAAATGATGAGAAATTTTGGCATTGAAAAAATTACTATAAAAAACTAGAATAGTCCATTTTCATCATTGATTAAGGAGAGACTACTTTGAGTTTTAAAAGGCATGAGCTATTAGAGTGAGATTTCTCATGTATTGAAGATCGATTATATATGTCTAAAAATAAATAATTAGTGCAAAAAAATTAATTGTTTACTGTTCGTTTGCCCCGCAGACGCTTAAAATGTTAAAAATAGTCCCGGGGCCTCGAATTTTGGAGCTACAGTTTTTTTTCAAAATTTTGCAAAAAATATGTGCAATAACAATTGCGAATTAGTTTTTTGGAATTCGACTCCTACACAACTAGTTTCGCTTTAACATAAAAATCTGCGCGTTTTATGTAAAATGGGCGGAAAAATTATTCTTAAAATATCTAAAATGTATTCTCGATTTTTTCAGAAACATTTGTCTGGCTATTTTACATGAATGATGCAATTTTTTATCAAAAAAAATAACGAATTTATCTGTATAGGAGTTGAATTTCAAAAAAACTAATTCGTAATTGTTATTGTACACATTTTTCAAAAATTTTGAAAAAAAAACCTCTGTGTAGCTCAAAAATTGGAGATCCTGGACTATTTTTAACTTTTTAAGGGTCTGCAGGGCAAACGAACAATAAACAATTTTTGGCATTAATTATTCGTTTTTAGACATATATAATCGATCTTCAATGTATGAGAAATCTCCAATAGCCTGCGACTTCAGCCCTAAATTGGTCACCCTATGAGGGAAACCCCACCACGCGCCCTTTTTCTTCAACTACAAATTATTTATTTTAATTTTCCGGTTGACTGGCTAACCGGAAAAAATGAAAAAAAATTGACATTGTCAATTGGAGTGTCTAAAAAATTACAGTAGTTTTTAGAACAACACATTTCCCAAAATTCTTAAAGAACACAAATTATTTCGAACAGATTAGGCATTAGAGTGAATTCGGCAACGCTGAAGTCTAAATAATGTTTATCGATTAATCGAAAACATCGATTTTTCGTTTCCAAACATCGATATTTTTTATTCGATGTCTTCGAGGGCCGATTAAACGATTTTCGATTCTTTTTTTCAAACACATCGATGTTTCTGACCAAGCTAACAAAATTTTTCATTTTTTGTCGAATAATAATGTTGATTGATTGAGAATGAACAAAATAATACTTTATCCGGAATCAGAAGTGATTATTTTCTACAGTATGTATGTTATATGAATGATAAGTGAACAGTGTTTTTTTTATTAATATTTTTCAATTAAAATTTTTAACAATTATTGCAGCTAATGTCCACTCACAGAAAAAATTCAATATATTTTTTTCAATTAATCAACATCTCGGTTTCGAGATTCAAAATTTGACTCTCCAGCAGTAGTTGTCATTGAAACGTAAGTTCCTCGGATTATATTTTTTAAATATAGGGGAGGGTAGGGTAAAACAGACACTTTTGACTTTTTTTGAAATATTTGTGACGTGTTGAATTGTTCATGAAATGAATAATTTTATTTTTCAATTGAAAAATAATGATTCGTCTTTATGATGAGCTTAGACTGAGCTCAATTGATAAATCTGTTTCTGAGTTATGAATATTTTTTAAAAAGTAGAGTGTCCATTTTACCCTACCCTCCCCTATATTTTTCAATAAAAACGAGAAGAAAAAAATTATTTTCAAAAGTGTAATTTTTTTCCTGTGTAATGAAAAAAACATCGATTCTTCGGTAATGGATGTTTTTTAAACATCGCCCACCCATAGAGGTGACCAAGTCGAAGGGTCGCGTTTGGTGACCAGACTAGGGTTAAAACTCGTAGTAGTCTCCCCTTAAGGAATTTATGGCGTTGTCTCGAGGGAAAAAAAGTCAAGATATTGATAATTTTTTGTAAATACGTTCTTTTATGTATTAAGAAATCACGTGCAAAATCTCAGATAGCCTACGTGAAGGACAACAACGGAAATAATTTCTGAAGTTGCTATTTATGCATGCAGTTGAATGGGGCATCGATAATTTCAGCAGTGTTCCCATATTGCCAACAGGTCGATAATGTAGGGAAAACGCTGACATTATCGATGCCCCATTTAACCTCGTGCATAAATAGCAACTTTATAAATTATTTCCGTTGTTGTCTTTCTCCTAGGCTATCTGAGATTTTGCACGTGATTTCTTAATACATAAAAGAACGTATTTGTAAAAAATTATCAATATCTTGACTTTTTTTTCTCTCAAGACACCGCCATAAATTCCTTAACACGATTTGCACTCCTCACCTGTAGAAAGAGCTCCTGATCCGAAACATGTTCCAAAATTTCTGATGCCACAACTGCATCGTACATGCCAGCATTAGTGCGAATATAATCCTCGATAGAGGTATTCAAGTAAGTCAGTCGTCCTGAGAGACTTGGATCAAGGGTGGCATGTGTTTTGGCGAGTTCGATTAATGTCTTTGACATGTCCAGCCCCGTTACAGACGCTCCAATTCTCGCCAAAGGTTCGGACAGGATTCCACCACCACAACCAACATCTAAGATCTTCACTCCTTCCAGCGGATGGCCGGGGTTTACTTCTCTCCATCCTACATTCACCAAGCCATCTCTAACCAATTGAACCCGTAGAGGATTAAGGGAATGCAGGGCTCGCATTGGGCCATCCAGGTCCCACCATTTCTCACGCAATTCTCCGTGCTGTTTCACATCGTTCGAGTCGACTGTAGTTCCTTTAGACTTTGGCACTTCCGGAATAGGTTTTATCGTTTGTGTGGAACTGAGAGGGACATTTTTAATATTTTATAAAGCGAATAGAAGGTTTCTAATCGTTCAAATTTAAGTTTTTAATTTTTTGTGTTATATCGACCCAGTTTTATTCAAAAATTCCGAAAATGCAATGTTTAGACCTCGTCCGTACGTATGAATGGATGTGTGTACGTATGTAACAAAGTGTTTCTTCAATTGTTCGCTAATTAATGGATGGAATTGAATCGTTTTTTTTTCAAATGTAAGTATTGTTGAACCCTATCGATCGCCATTACAGTCCAATCTTCGTACAAGATACCACAAGAAATGTAGGGGAATCCAATTCCGAGAATTACGTATCCCCCACTTTACTCGCGCTCAGAGGGGAAAATATTTTGATTTCGTATTCTTTGTACAAGATACTAGACGATTTCTACCACTATTAGAAAAAAAATGAAATTTCATGGACAGTTGACTACTAATTTTTAGGACAGTGACATTGATTGCGATTTAGGGGGAAAAAATCATGAAATTTTAGGTTTCACTGAAAATTTAGTAACGTTCCAGAATTTTAAGCAGCATAAAGCCGAGAATTCCTCAATGTATTTTAATTTCCAATCTAATATGAATATTCAGTGCCAAATTACATTGAATTTTCAGTGAAATGTGAAATTTCATTATTTTTCCCCCTAAATCGCTTTCAGTGTATTCTTGTTTCAGTGTCTTGAACATTCAAGAATATGTTTACCGGAATTTTTTGGTTTTCTACTCATTTTCAGGGAAAAATGGAATTGAAATCGACAGTTCGCTTTTATTTTCCCACAAAATTCTGAGTTTTCAATGACGAAATTCCTTGAAATTTCAGGGGTCATTAAATTCGATAAAAAATTCCAAAAAGTGTACCGGACATTTCAGACTAAAATTTTTAACAGTGTATACTACATGCAATACAAAAGCAACTCCCCATTTGTTGTTTTATCGAGCACTCAGACCAATTCAGTAGAGGTGCTAAAATGGGGCGAGTCAACGAAACTTTAGGCTGATTTTTTCATAAATATCTTTGAATATTAGAGAGATGTATTTGCATACAAATCTTTCATTTCTAGCGCAATCAAAACTGCATAACAGATTGATCAAAATCGCTACCTTTTTTGAATGTCGAAATGTTCTTCAGAGACTGAATTGCAAGCTATATTCATCACGCTGAAAATTCTCTCACAACTGTCAGTTACCATTTTGACAAGTGCCAATTAGAAATACGAACAAATAGGAAAGGATGTAGTGAAATAGACACTTTTGACTTTTTAAAAAATATTAGTAACTCGGTAACAACTTTATCAATCCATCTCAGTCTTGGCTTATGACGAAGGGGAAGAAGTGTACTTTTCATTGAAAAATAAATTATTCCATTTCATTGGTAGGGGAGGGTGGGGTAAAATGGACACTTTAAACTTTTGAAAAATTATTCATAAGTCAAACAAATTTATCAATTGAGCTCAGTTTAGCCTCGCCATAGAGGTGAAGAATTGTTCTTTGTATTGAAGAAAAAATTATTAAATTTTATCAACATTTCAACCCCTCATTCACATTTTAAAAAAAGTCAGAAGTGTCCATTTTACCCCACCCGCCCCTACATTCAATAAACTATAAATACGAGGATGAGTAATCATCTCCGCATTCAGTCAATTAATTCTCAATTTCTCTATTAAGATTAACACCATCAAAATTTACAACTTTCGCCGTCGTCAGTGGAAATGGAAATGATATCAGTATATTTCGTTCCTATTGTTTTCGAAAAAGAAAATCTATTCGCCTCAAACATAGTTTCATGATATAATATATATTTTAAAAAGGGTATAATGTCATTCCTTACCAATGCCGGGTCAAGGTCCCCAAACTGTACGTGAAATATCTTTTGATAACCGTAACACTCATCTTAATGTTATCCTAATATACTAAAATATTAATTTTTATTTCACTCCAGATTTTTCAATCCATCGTCCTCGAATCTGTCATTGACTCTCTGAACCCACTACAAAACAAATGATCGTATTACTCTCCAAGAAGAATGTCACTCACTAATTTCCACGTAATTTCTGCTTTCAATCGCTCAATTTTAATTTTTATCACTTCAAAACCGCTATTATCAAATAAAAATTGATAATCATTACGCAATAATAATCCAACCGGCGTGAAATGTTGATCTGCCACTATTTAATCTTCGAGGTTAGAGATGTTGTTATGCTCGACGACGTTTCAAGAATGGCGCTTGAGCTTCCGTAGAGCGGGAAAAATTGAACATCGACACGGAAAAAAAAACGAAAAACGATTTTGAAAAATGTGTTCTCATAATTCAACTGTTCAACAGATGAATGAAGAAATCAGAAATTACTTGATAATTCGATGACGAATTGCGAAATCGAATAGGGCGAGATTGAAAGAAAAATTGCAGGCGGCTGTATTTTAGATACAGCTGTAATTGTACGTCGATACGTTCATGGTCTTTCCTTCTTTCTCGAACTAGACATTTGCGCGCGCTTTCACGCGCGCTTATCTATTTGTTGTGAAAATGAAGAAATCGAATTTATTAAACTTCACATACTCATAGATGTTTTATAAATATTGATAATGACTTAAAGAGAATTAAGAGAAGAAAGAGTGAAACATCAATGAATAATTTTTAATCTTCGATTAATTCCTTTTTTTACGTTTTAAAATAATCTGATTAAAATCTGTAATGGTTGAAAAATGAGGGGAGGGTTATGAATTTATTTCCCAGAAAACTGAAAAAAGTTCTTGAATTTTTCGGAAAATTCCACAGTTTTCCAGATAACCGTAGCTCTTCAAAGATTTTTCTCGAATTAGTTGGGAAACCAAAGAATTTTCGTGAATTTTGTAGAGTTTAGAATTTATGTATGAAAGTCTGAGAAGCAAGAATTGATCATTTTGGCGTGTGATAAATATGAAAAAATTAAAATTTGGGAATTGAAGAATAATTTGTGAGTTAAAAAAATTTAGAAATACTATGTTTTTTTTTTCTCATGATCAACAATTAGTCAATTTAGATATGTTTTGATATAAAAATCAACTTCACATATGAAAAAATGAAAAATATGACGCAGAACCAATTTTTGGCATTTGAAGAATTTGAAAATACCGGGGATTTTTTTCAGCTCCTACTTCACGTGACTCATTGACCAACCAGAATTGAGGATTAGCGGTCAGGCAGTTTCGAGATATTTCGATATAAAACAACTTCACGTTTCTTTCATCTTTAGTAAAATAGGATTTCTTAGAAACTCCTTGAATTTTTTCGAAATTTCAAGGAATTTCTCTAATTACCTCGAAATGTCTAGAATTTTCTAGAATTCCGATAGATGGCGCTGCACATAAGGATCGTTTCCCAAAAAGACCCTCTATATTGAAACCGCGTCAAAATACAATATAGACCGCTTATGCAGCAACGATTACGACTAGGGTGAACAGGCCAATTACTGGACGGTTAAGGGAAATTCGAGTTTCGTGGTTGGATCTAAAATAAAAGAATCACATAAATGGGGATATGATGATTTCTATACCTTCAAATATATTTTAATTAGCAGAAGAAAATTATTTAAGTTGAAAATAACAAAACAAAGAATTACATAATAATCATCCGATAAATTTTTTAGTCTCCAATTCTCAATTTCTGTCATTTATTCTAGAACGACAAGAATAGAAATCGAATTTATGGGTATTTTTCCATTATTCGAAAAAATATATCGATTTTCTCTCATTTCTTCTCGTTAAAATTAGATCATAAAATTCTAAAATACTTATATTCCGCCCATATTTCTATCGCAAAAAGGAGAAAGGAAATCGATCTCGAAACGCGCGGCCGATCTCGTTCGAAGAAAAAACAGTGATTCCAAGTTTCCACCGTCAGAAATGAAGAAAACCAAGTTTTCGCCATTTTCTATTTTATGGGTATGGGTTCATTCATTATTCGAAAAAAAAATCGGTTTTGAAAGTTTCTCCTATTTTTAGTTGCTCATCTCCTCCTAAAAATAATAATTTTCTGTTCTAATTTGTTTTTCATTTGGTCCACAAATGATATTAAGTAATGAAATAATTAAATTTATTTATTAACCAAAAATTCGTGAATTACTATTTTGTCTTTTACAATAGGGTTCTTCCATCAATTTCTAATAATTTTTATTTGAACATTTTTCTTTCATCGCACATATTTTTCAACAATTATTTGTTTTTTATTTTAATCATCCTTTTCTCACAGCTTTCCACGTATATATTGCGACACTGGTGAGTGGAGCGAGAGAGATATCGTTAGCTGCATAGAAGAGTAACCTAAGTGCCAAAATACGAGGATTCAATAGAAAAAGAGAAACCAAACACAAATATGGGAACTGGAATTAAAAATTCAAAAGTTCTGGTATGAGGACATTTTTTGGCACTTACGTTAGTCTTCTATACAGCTAGCGATCCCACTCGCGTTACCGCTGTTCTCGCACTTACATTAGAGAACATGCGTCGACCGATAAACACATGAGTGCGAAGTGAGAATAAGAATAATTGAGAATGTCTCACTCGCCAAAAGCCATTCAAATCACTTTGGAATCAATTTCGAATCTGCACCGAAATTCAATTTGTTCAAGTTTATCATTTCAATAATATTTATCATTGAAAAAACAAGTTCTCACATATCTTTTTGTTTGTTGTTTTTTTAAACGAAAGAAGACATAAAGTATAAGAGTTGAAAAAATTCCAAAAAAAGAATGAATCATCTATAAAAAAATCTTTTTCATCACGCTGTGACGAAAAGTGAACTTTTCGGCACGCTCCGCGTGCCTAAAAGTCCAATTTCCGCCACATTGTGATGAAAAATATTGTTCGTAACTCGTGAAAAAATGTTTTTTAGCTCGTGGGATTATATCACTCGCCTTCGGCTCGTGATATAAACCTCCCACTCGCCAAAAAACACTTTTTTGCACTCGTTACGAAANAGTCAAGACTTTCCGCCCTTGATGCACAATATATTATTTCATCACGCTGTGACGAAAAGTGAACTTTTCGGCACGCTCCGCGCGTCTAAAAGTCCAATTTCCGCCACATTGTGATGAAAAATATTGTTCGTAACTCGTGAAAAAATGTTTTTTAGCTCGTGGGATTATATCACTCGCCTTCGGCTCGTGATATAAACCTCCCACTCGCCAAAAAACACTTTTTTGCACTCGTTACGAAATATACTATTTCACACCCCTATTAGAGAAGCGTCGTCTCTCTAAATTCTAATTCTCTTAGAATTCTTTAATGCCTAAAGGAGGTTAGGCGGTGTTTGAGGTGAATTTGAGAGTGAATTTCTGTGGTTCCCGGTAGCTTAGTCGGTAAGAGTGCCCGNATATATTATTTCATCACGCTGTGACGAAAAGTGAACTTTTCGGCACGCTCCGCGCGTCTAAAAGTCCAATTTCCGCCACATTGTGATGAAAAATATTGTTCGTAACTCGTGAAAAAATGTTTTTTAGCTCGTGGGATTATATCACTCGCCTTCGGCTCGTGATATAAACCTCCCACTCGCCAAAAAACACTTTTTTGCACTCGTTACGAAATATACTATTCTCTTTTTCCTAATTTTATTTGTAATCTTAAATATAATAAATCTGTTGCCGATTCTTTGTTCGCGATTCACGCTAAAACCACTGAATGGATTTTGATAGGGTTTTCACTGTTAAATAGCTTAAGGTCCCCAGATGGCTTTAGGCTATATAATTTATTGCGCTGCGTTGCATAGTTCAGTATGCAACGTGGAAACTTCTAGAAAATTCTAGTACTTTCTAGAAAATTCTGGAATTTTCTGAAAAAATCCAGAACATTCTCAAGTTTCTGAGAATATTCTCGGGTTTTCGAGAAAATTGGAAGAAATTCTCCAGTTTTATATCTACCCTGTTGCATAATAAATTGAAATCTAAACGTAGAAACTTCCCAAAAATTTCAAAACTTTCTGAATAATTCTAAAATTTTCCATTCACGGGTTTTCCAAAGAAATGAAGAAAATTCTGGAGTATTCTAAAACAAGCAGGGGTTGAAGCCTTTTTGGGAGAGGGCATCTGACCGTTACTTGATGGGTTATAACTTTTTTTTTTCTCGCCATCAATAAATTGATGGCCGGCTTCCAAATGGTTTGAACCATTTACCAAGATGTCCAGAAAAACTCGAATATCTCGCAAAATACTGAAGAAATTGAGCCCATTTTGAATATCAACTATTGTTATCGTAAGAGGAAAATTCTCTTCAAATTTCAGTTGATATCTTTATTTTTGCACAAGCTACTGTGATTTTTATGAAAAAAAAAGATGATTTTCTGTGAAAAAATGGAAAAATGTAAATATCTCGTGAACTTTCATGGGCGCGAATGCATGTGTTGGTTCAAGACATCAAGACGGAACATAAAAAAAACAAGACTATCGTTCGACAATGGACCTGAGAATGACACACAGTAATCACCATTGGTGCTTTCAACAGAATTTCAGACACAAACTTGAATATCTCAAACTAATAATCCGATTGAGCCCATTTTCAAACATTCTAGTGCAGAGAGGAAACTTTGTACCAAATTTCAAGTTAATATATCGATTTTTGCGAACGTGAGAGTGCTCACAAGCATTTTTAACGAAAAACAGAAAAATTGAAATATCTCGAAAACTTTGAATGAACCGGTATATATATTTTAATTGATTATTATAGCTGAAATCGAGACGAGTATTTTGAAAAAAAATGGAATCGGTTGGATGGTTTTCGAGATATTTGCGAAAAACGATTTAGAAACAAATGGCAATTTCTCGAAAACGGCTGGATCGATTGAGCTGGAATTTGGCACAGAGTTAGTCGTTATTAATACCTATAATCTGACAAAATTTCAGATTTTTCTGAATCACTTTAGCCGGTTAATTCTCCAATTTTCTAAAAGTTGACCACCCGATGGACATCCGCACAGACACACGGGGTGGTCAAACTTCGTATTTTGACGTTTCAGACCATTCTGCATCGTTTCCAAGCAAAATTAGAAAATCGAAAAATAGAACGATTACAATGCTTCCATTCGGAAGCAAAAATTGAGAATAATAACCCGTTTAACATAATCTCGATATTCATTTTTTTCTATTTTACCCGAGCTAAGCCGGGGTCCATGGCTAGTTTATTAATATTTCAGAGGGGATAAAATAGTATATTGTGCACCAAGGGAGGAAAACAGGGCATTCTAACCTGCCCGAGGCGAAGCCGAGGGTAAACTCGCGGTTTAGGATGTCCTGTTGTCCTTCCTCGGTGCACATACTATTTTCCGTCATAACTGCACGGTTAAGTTCGATTTTTCCCTGTAAATGAAAGAGAGTATTGTGGATTATGTCATTCCGAGGATCTTCTAAACCAGTAGAAATCCGAGGAATCAAATAAGCCACTTTCCTCCTGTCATTTGGGGAGGAAAATCAAACTTTCCGTGGAGATATGATGGAAAAAAATTTCCTGAGAAAAAAACGAACAATGCTAAAACTTGATAAAAGGATCGAACTAGGAACTGTAATTTTTCCAAAATTTTTAAACGTCGAGAAACAACGCTAAAATATTAAAGAAAACGACAACGCGCGGCGCCGCGCTCATTGCCATAGTAGAAATTTCATGGCGCAAAAACGTCGCGGCGTGAGTTGGCGCGCGACATTCAATGTTATAGGTGTAGACACTTCGGCTCAATGTCGCAGAATTTCGATCAATTTCTGCTAGGGTGAGCGAGTGATCGAGGGTCAAATGACAGAATTTCATAAAGTCAAACATCATTTGAAATCGGAAACTATAAAAAAAAGATCCATAAACGGATAAATGATGACAGATTCCTGTAAAATATGATAATAAATGACAATAGACAGCATTCCGCTTGACTCTTTTTTTGAATAATCAAAATTTGTTGGATTCTATAAGCAAATCTAGCATCCTGACATATTATGACAAAAAATGTCATTGAATGTCAAATGGGGAGAAGTAACTCCCAGGACAACAAATTCTGTGAAAATTCGACAAATTATGACACATTTTTCTGAGAAATTATGGCATTATCAACGCCGTACTTGTTCCAAATTCAGGTCATATAATTTCAATTTCTCACCCGAAAAGTCGAATTTCGACATCTATGACAGATTTTGATACAATATGAAATATCTGAGAATATTTCTACGTTAAAATTTGCCAAAATTTGTCACTTTCTATCAAAATTTGACAGAATCTTTCACCGCGATTTCCACCGGTATTTAAAAACTGGCGCCCGTCGGCGAGTGGGCGGTAAAAATCAAAGATCGTCATCAGGAACTTGTTCAAAAAAATCCAAGAACGATTCCACATTGTCCCTTCTAATCACACAGAAGCACAATGGGGCACCAAATCTTCAGCTACAATTCAGTCATCGAGAAATGCATTCAATAATTCCATCAAACAATATCCGAAAAAGAGCAAACCATAAACCGTTTGCGCAGCAACATACTGCTCTCCTCCATTAGCTTGCTTCCTTTCCCCCCACCATTCATTCCTTTTTCCACTTCACTCCCATTCCCATCTGTCAGTCGGATAAAAAATTCCAGTGCTCATGATAGTGGGATTAATAAGAGCCTGCAGCTGTGCATAAAGCTCCACTGTGATGGGCGGGTGACGAAGGGAGTCTATAAGCCGCTGTTATTGTTACCTTCCAAAAAATACGTCCTGCATTGGTCACTCCAAAGATTCAGAAATCAGCTAAATTGAGCCAGGTAAATAGCATTGACAAAATAAAAAAACTTCCACAAGCAATCAATTAATTAGCCGAATCATCTGATCTTGAACCATTCCACAATTACCGTCAATTACTCAACGATCATTTAAAATTTTTGCATCGTTTTTTATGCATGGAGTTACAACCCGTTATGCTGGTCACATTCTCCCTAGCATGAGTCACTAGAGTGATTTAAGTGGACAAAAACGTTGATGTGTTAAGGAGATTGTCTTTTCCAGATCGTTGAATACTGAAAGCCTAAAAGGAAGGAGATTGAGAGCTTCAGGGACACCTTCCTGGTGTCGAGTAGTAACAAAGTTGATTAAATGCCTTTTCATCTACGAATGAATCACTCCACAATCGACATGGAGGAGTACTCTGGAGCATCCGATGTCTCCGTTGTCGATGTTTACGACATTGCCTCGGAGATTGGGAAAGAGTGCGAAAAACTTATTGATATATTTGGTACGGAGGCTGTTACCGGCCTCATGCCTAAAGTTATCAATGCACTTGAACTATTGGAGAACTTGGCGACGAAGAATGAGCGGGAGATTACTACTGTGCAGGAATTAACAACGAAAATTTCGCAGCTGGAAAATGATAAGATTGGCAAAGCTGAGGATAGACAAAGATTTGAAAAGGTACAATCCGGAAATCCCAACAGGGGAGAAATATATTAATTTATTAAGGAATAGTTAGGTGGATGATTAATTAACTACATTCTTTTATTTGAAAATATCTTTCTGTATTATAAAAATTCAAATCGACTTCTGGTGATGAAAATTTGGCACTCGAAATTAAGACTCCAAAATTAAGGGTCACAAGGGTCAAAATAAGGGTCATGAAGGTCAGAATAAAGGTCATGAAGGTTGAAATAAGGGTCACGAGAGTCGGATTAAGATTCAGGAGGGTCAGAATGAGTGTCACGAGAGTCGGATTAAGGGTCATGAAGGTCAGAATATGTGTCACAAAAGTCAAATTAAGGGTCACCTGAGTCAGAGTAAGGCTCATAACGTTCAGAATAAGGGTCACGAGGGTCAAAAAAGGGCCATGAGGAGCAGAATGAGGGTCACGAGAGTCGGATTAAGAATCATGAGGGTCAGAATAAGTGTTACGAGGGTTAGATTAAGGGTCACAAGAGTCAGATTAAGGGTCAGAATAAGGTTTAAGAGGGGCAGATTAAGGGCCACAAGGATCAGAATAAAGATCTAATTCAGGGTCACAATGGTCAGATTAAGGATCCAAATACGGCTAACAAACGTTTAAATAAGGGTCACAAGAGTCAGAATAAGTATCATAGGGGTCATATGGGGGTTGACGAGTGGAGTAACCAATTCGAAATAGCGTGAGGTCTTTCATTGATGCCTCTTATTTTTTATTACAGGAAGTGGAGCAGACGGAAGAGCACTGGAGGCAAGAGTCCAGAGATCTAGTCGGCATGGTGACAAGATTGCAGGAGGAAAATCGCAGACTCTCCGAGGCATTACAAGAATCTCGGAGCGACAGTCAGGACAGCGGTAAACAAAGTACTAACCGTAAATCCCCTAACTAATTTGCACCTGCACCATTAGATGAAATTCCTACAGTTCAGCGTTAAATCATTATTGAATGTTTCAACAAATTATTTTCAGCTTTTACAGCCAGTCAAGAGGTTGATATTCAGGTTTTACAACGTTTAAGGAGTATGATTGATAAACAACGAGATCAAATCCGTGCCAGGGATCGAGAAATGTCGCAGAAAAATTTAGAGATTGAGAATGTAAGGATATGACAATCGCTATTATCACAACATACAATTCAGAAGTCTTGAATTATTCATGAAAAAAAGGGAAATTTTAAATATTTTTGTTAGTCATTGTATTTGTTCGAGTTGACCTTGAAGATTTGGATTTTTAATTTGAATTGTGAAAACTTTTAGTTTACTCAGGAAACCATGGAGAGTGTATTATTCTCTCTTGATTTCACGATTATTCTGAACGTCTGCATACATTCACTTCATTTGTGTGAAAATGGATTATTTCCTACAGTTACCACAATTAATGGCATAATTTTCAGTTGACCATCCAAGTGGAAAAACTGACCTCAGTCGGTCGTGAATTGAAACGCAAACAGCGCCAGGCACAAATGCAAGCACGCGGACTAGTTGAGGAGCGTGCTGACTTCCTGGCACAGCTCCAAGACCAGAATCGTGAGCTGATTAATTTACGCGCACGACTCGGATTGGCGCGGAAGGAGAACGAAGACTTGACAAAGTCCAATCAGGGATGTCCCGATCTGACGAACAAGGTTGTCTATGATTTGGATGATCCAGACAGGCCTAGATTCACAACCGCTGAGCTCAAAGAAATTCTGCACGAAAGAAATGAATTGAAAGCTCGTGTTTCTGATCTTGAGGATGAATTGGAACTTTACAGACCGAAACCCGAAACGTCAGTCAATATTATATTTTTTTCAACAATTCCTGTAGAATTTGAAGCTTGTTAATTATCTGTTATTTGAGAGTTTAAGTTTGTAATTTTCATATCATTAGAATTGAAGTTCAGTTATTCATTTTTTTTTCTAACTTGATTTTGCACGCTTTATTATCGCATGTCCGCGGTTTGGTTGCGTCACGTCCGTCAACGTGCTTTGAAATCAGACAGCGGGCAACCGGCATTGACTAGCATACCTGAGACTAACAGTTATACGTAAGAGAATTATGGTTAGATTCTCAGAGCATATCTGTGATTAAATCCAATGAAAGGATATTGTGTTACATTTATCCTTACATTTAAAATTTCCATTCATTTTTATTATTCCGAAACCACATTGTGTCATAAACACATGATGGATTCTTCCTTAACCAAGCCACCTATTTTTTTCAAGGTCTCCAAAAAATCTGAAAAAATTCAGTGGTTTAACGGTCATCAAAAGTACTCTCTGTGATTTTTTTCAGATTTTTTTAAGCATCCGTGATGGACATAAGTGAGAGAAGTGGGAGAAGTTGACCTCCGACAAAAAGAAAGTTTGGAACAAAAAATATGTTTTATCTGAATTTTTCAAATAATTCTTTTATTATAGGAAGAAAGGGGTATAGCGAGTGTAAACTCTGGAATCAGCTTAAAAATTCAATTTTTAGGCATTTCGACATTGTTTTTCTTTCAAAAAATTTGGGTAATATGATGATTCCAATTCAATGTTTATTAATGAATGTGGAAATGGGACAGGGTAAGCTTCGGAGAAGAAAAATAATCATTGGTAACTTTTGAATTCGTGATAAATACTCACATCTTGGTTAAATTGTTGAGGCATAAAAAAAATTTTTTTTGTCTAATTGTCCTCGAGGAAAAGAATCACACTTCAATTTAAAAGTTTCTAACTCTCATACAGACCGGTTTGCGGGAAGAATTTGAATTTTGTTTTTATGACTTTGGGTAACATCAAAGACTGAGCCAAAATGTTAGTATCGATGACAAAGTAAAAAATTACTCAAGATGATTTTTTTCTCCGAAGCTTACGTCCATCCCATTTCCAATTTCATTGATAAATGCTCAATTTCAATCGACATATTACCACAATTTTTTTAAGCAAAACAAAAACGTCGAAATGCGTAAAAATGGAGTTTTTAAGCTATTTCTGGAGTTTAAACTCTCCACACCCTTTTTTTTCCTATAATAAAATAATTATTTGAAAAATTCAGGTAAAAACCTATATTTTTTGTTCCAAACTTTTTTTTTTCTGAGGTCAACTTCTCCTGATATCTATTTTTGTTCGAAATTCCTTCAGATCCAATTATCTTGATCACGGACGCCTAAAAAAATCTGAAAAAATTCACAGAGAGTACTTTTGATAAGTATTAAACCATTGATTTTTTCCAGATTTTTTGGAGACCTTGAATAAAATAGGTGGCTGGATCGAGGAAGAATCCGTCCCATAAGGACTCCGTATTCTAGTCGTATTCCGAATCATTGAACGCAGATTAATATTTTCAAACAACGAAATAATTATCTATTGTTTAATCACAGATATTTTTCTTCTCAAGTATTCCATTTGCTTTTGTCAATGTACAGACATTTCATAGTCTGGCAGTATTTGCTAATTTTACATTACAAAAAATACATTCATTTGATTGTTTCTCATATCTTTCCATAGACCCGAAGAGGACGCGCCTGTTCAGGGGCCTCTGCCTTACGAACCAGATGATGCTCCCTGGAAAAAATCATCAGAGTCTGGCATTCGGAAATTGTAATGATTTGATTTGCTCTATTTCATAAATTCTCACTTGCAGGTGAAATTTTATAACGCTCTTTAATTCTAGCTTCCGGAAAATATTCTCCGAGACAAGTGGAAGTTTGTTAGGCGGTAGCAGTCCAAGAAGAAGTCTCTCTAGTCTTTCCAAGATGGCCCTCTCGGGGAATGGTGCTACTGATACATCGATCTAAACCAAATTATTATCTCTTGAACAGAGAAAAAAACAAGCAAGATGACATCAATTTTCGGTTCAACAATTTATCATTTTTGATCAATTTAGAAGTGGCATAGGTATTCCCAATTCTAACTTGATAATTAACGCTATTAATGTAATCTGTTGCCAAAAATCAGCGAGTATGATAGTATATCGATGTTATGGACTCAACGTTTCGAATTCGCCACTCAACTAGGAAAAAATCATCATTGTTTCATTTTTTATTTATCTCACAACTTGATTTTTATCTTTCGTTTTGGTTCGTACGTTCTAATATTACCGAAATTATATTAGGTCAGGAGATAGTATTTTATCTTCCGTTGTTATTTTCCTTATGAATTAACAAAGTTATGTGGATGAGGAAAAATTTTATGATCCATTCCCTTTTTTTTAGTTTTTCATTGGAAGCATTTGTCATCTAAATTCCATTTAATCTTTTGGTTTTTAGATACGTTTTTCTTGTGTCATATTTAACGCTTCATCCATTCCATTGTTGTTTTCATCCCTTCGGTTGTTATAATTTTGTTAGCGCCAATTTAGACCTGTCATAAGTTTTGAAGCCTAATAGTGATGAATTTTCACACATTTTAACCCTGCATATTTAAGAACTTCATATGGAAGAATCCAAGTTTTTTCGAGTTTTTGAGAGATTCAAATGCAAAGACTTTTTATCAAAGAGTTGTCATATTAACGTAGATTTAGCCAATCAAAGGGAGAGAGGGAGAACATTGAAAGAAAATACCGTAGACATTGTTACGAGATTCCAAATAGGCGGTTCTATAGCATGAGAAGACTAGAACAAAAAAGGACCGTGAATTATCATTTGGAATTAGTCTTTTTTATCTATTGAGGACCCTGAAATGCTAATATTTAGCATTTTTTTTTAATTAAAAAGCATTTCTTAGTTGACATTCCAAAGAATTAATGAATTAGCAAAAAACAGAAATGATCGTTTCAACTAAAAATTGACCAGGAAAATACACAATATATCTAACATCGGGCCCATAGTAATTATCTCTAGAAATATTGACACGTTTATTTTATATCAACCCAATATGTGAACCAATCCATTCGCCTGAGACAAAACAAATGCATATCTGTGTCAATGTAATGCGCAAAACACATGGGCGTACTTTTTTGTAAAACCCAAATGTTTTCTTTGGAGGTGTTTTAATACTTGTTACAATGTCTGTAGATTCCAGAGAACATGTCAAACAAAACAGAAGAGGAGTCACTGAAAATATAGTTTTTAACTGTATATAATATTAAATACTAATGCAATATTATATACTTACGAATTTGAAAATATTGTAATGAAAAAAAAAAGTTACAGAAATAAAGTATCCGATGAAAATTCTTGGGGAAAAAAAATCATTACAACAACAAAAGAGTGAAAATAAGGCAGTATTTACAATTCCTTCAGTTGTACTGAATTGCTATTATATAAAATTGTCTATAAGCTATCACAATGATCTGATTTCAAGAATTCTAACAAAATTTGTTGCCAAGAACAATAAATAAAACCTAATTAATACAGTCTTGATAAGAATTCTAGTATTGGCAGCTATACAAGACATGAATCTTGGTTGTAAGTGCATCAAGGATATGGTAGTATCTTTGTTAACATAAATTTGAAATACAGAAATATAATCTTCAAGTAGGAATAAAATCCTTTGGTATATTCATAACCAGCGATTTATGCCATTTGCCAAGTGATATCAAGGTTTTGGATGCCATTTTGTTTTGGTTAAATCAAATTCATAGATATTTTCTTGGCGATCTATCAATATTTCTCGCTTATAGCCTTTCGAATACTTTTTATTGCATGATTTATTTAAAATGTTGACTTCTTTCATCACCACTACCACATCCTTTACGGTGATACCGGCTAATGCCCCAAAAAATCTAATGGATCAACCATCATCTACAGATCAACATTGTTGAGATTGGCAGCTGATCCAGTTGGCAGGTCTGGTGGTACGAATTTACCAATGGGTTGTATGGCCTGATGCTGTTCCGACAGTTTCTTCATCTCCTGTCGCAATTTCCCAAGAATTGCATGATTTGGTTGATTGACTGCAGCTTTACCCTGGAGTAGTGTTATTTCCTGCTCCAGTTGTTTTTTCTCTTTGAATGACTTTACACTGCGGGAGCCGTAGAGACGGAGAAGGGAGCCCCAGGATGTTATGTGGGGGTGGAGACGCTGGAGGATCTCTTGGGCTGCTCTTTGCTTTCCATCTTTTTTATTTCTACATATCTGTTGAATCAAAATGACTCGTTAATTGGCCGCATTATTCTAGAATCATTTTGAATGGGTCAATAATCAATAAATGTTGACTAATGAAATTTGGAGTGAGAAATTGCCATTTCGGTTACATTACTGTAGAGAGAAGCAGGGATGGCCATCAATATTATATTTCTTCAATATTAAAAGGATTCGCGACTTACATTGATAAATGTTTAAATTTACTCATCAAAATTTTTAAATATGATAATATTAATAGTTTAGATTTCCGATTGATGGTGAATTAAATATTTGATAATACAGAACTGTAAATTTTCCATTGAGTGAATATTTCTAATTTTTTAAAAGGGAATATCGACTAACCAAATAATCGGCAATATTTGAATATTTAAATAGATGATTACTTCAATAATTAAGAGTTTAAGAGTGATGTTAACTAAATCACGGCTTCAAAATGTAACGGTAATTATCATTTATGAATATGGCTGTTCCTGGAGAGAAGTGAGGGCGAGACATGAGTCGATTCCTACTTTGTTGTGAATTTTCCATTTGTCTCGAATATAAATAATTCAATGCTGATAATAAATTTCATCTTAAATTTCAATATCATATTTTCTTCTTCAAATGAACAGTCAATCAATTTCATGAAACTTCAGCCGAAATTGGAATATTATTTGGAATCCCATACAATGCGATTTTCAATATTTCCAATATATTCTGCAGTTTATGTTAATATTGCAACATTTGTTGAATACAAAAAAACTAAAATTCTTTAATTTTGAGAATAAATCAGAAATTGATGGATAATTTGATCTTAAATCCCATTTCAAGTCACAGAATTTAAAATTGGCATGTCATTGTCTTATGCCTCTTATGCCTCTTTAGTTCTATGGTGACAAAACATGAAAGATTCTTTTTGCAGGCATTATTTGAGGACATACACCAGTACACACATACGCACACAAACACACAGACATCATATTGAAAATGGCTTGAACATTTGGTGTAAAATTGAAAATCGATTTTCGGGATGATTGCAATCAGGGTTGGAAATCCATCGATAACCGCAGTTTTTTACATGACATTGTAAAAAACTTGTAATTTACGTAATAAATATGATGTCACACCTCGTAAGGGATGATTTTTACAAGGGTCAATCTCATTATTCATTGATCTCTATTGAATGCGGCGCGTCATTATCTTTTGTCTTAACATTAACTTGTTTCATTCAGCATTCTTAAATGACAACTAATTCAATTGTCTTTGGTAGCTTTTTGAACTCTTCAAAACAAAATGATTCTTTTTAGATCCAACTGGGCTTTTCCGGGGCTCCAAATAAAAGAGTGGAGAATGTAAAATAATATTTTATGCCCCAAATACAGAGAACCGCGTTCTAACCGAAGAAAGTGAAGTTAAAATTTGCAGTTTATCTGCCCTCGAGACATAATATACTATTTTTTACGATATTTATGTATCCAATACAAAAAAATTCTCGAGCTAATTTACGTAAATTACGTCGGTAAAAAACTGTGTAATTTACTAACGCAATTTACGGGCCCAACCCTGATTACAATAACTTTCGTGTCGAGAAGCTAAAGAAAAACGATATTTTCCCTGAAAACACTTATGTAGTATTCAACGAAATGAGATAAATTGGCATCTTATATTTTGTTACTTCACTGCGGATTGAATTTTGTCGTACTTGCTTTATCTATCAAACGGTTCTCGGTAGGTCTATCTTGAATTCAGTCAATGATAGAAGGAATTGTGCAGAAAATAATATTATCGTTCAATGAAAATCATATTCCGTTATAGGAAGCTATAAAATATCACTAACCACAGTAGCCTCGTGTTTCCCCACTTTCATCGTGAATTCGTTCCTCTGATGTTTAAGTGTATTAACCGAGTAATTAATATGCATGTCGCCAAGGCCAAAATTCCTTTGCAAACAAGTAATTAAAATGGCATGCGGCGATGGTTCAGTTGTTTTAGCGCAGAATTCAGCAACTCTGGGATCGGTAATGGAAATTTCATCGAAAAACGATAGATCAGCATCTGAATTGCCTCTGGAGGCTTTCGTTGTTCGTGCAGAATTTGTGGTACTATCACTGGTTGCTTCGCCCGATATTTTATCTCTCATCTGGGGAATGAGAATTTCCAGAGTTTTCCGCGCGGCATCAGTTTTCGCCTGTTTTTTACTGCTGCCAAAACCACTCCCATATTCCATGTCATTGATGCAAACTACTGCAGAATAGGGTGTTGCAGCATTTTCTGGAGAAACAGAAAAATAGTAAACAAGTGAAAATAATCAACTGAAATGAGATAAGTCAACTTAAGGATATCCAAGTATCTTTTACAGTTTGGTACAGACCACACTATAAATTCAACCATTTTCAGTCATCAAATTTGTGTCAATTAAATTGCGTGAGGAGAATTTGTTAAAAATCATAAATATTCAGCGTCATTTAAATTACATTTTGCACAGAATTATTATTTTTCCAAACATTCGTTGTTTCTAAATGAATAATTTTTAGACATGAAATCGATTTCTGATAAAATTCTGAATATGAATAAATTTGTTACAATCCTGAATAAATTATTTTTATGGTGGAAAATTGCTCGTAATTTTCAAAAATTGCAATTTTTAAATTATTTCATCAATTTTCCTCCTAAAACAAAACTTTTCAATTTTTTTCAAATTTTTAAAATGTTTTCTAACGGTTCAATACCGAGATTCAAATTCAGACCTGCAATGTTTAAATAACAAAATCTTTGGAAAATGTCTGGAAGCTTAGGGCCAAATGGGACTCAAATGAAAGCTCTGATGTTCGATGTTCGATAGAAAAGCATTGCACTGGAGAAAAAGAGCTAAAGTGCTTGAATATCCTTAATAAACCATTTTAAAGAAATATATCGAAATTCAAGAGATACCGAAAAATTTCTATAGGGGTTTCTTCTTCGGAGAACACAAGAACTCTAACTATGATTTTCTTTTAAAAGTTATAAATGATGAATTGTTACCAAATTTATCAAAAAGTAGGGGGCTGCGCCCCCTGTTCGCTCCCCCTCGCCAACCCCTATGTGACCCACATATGATCCTCTGACCTTTGTGAGACTTAATCAGACTTTTGTGACCCTTAATCTGATCCTCGCGAACCTTATTTAACCCACTTTTACCTTTGTAAACCTTATTTGCACCTTTATTCTGATCCTCGTAACACTTATTGTGACCCTCATGACCCTTAAGCCGAATCTCGTGACCCTTATTCTGTCCCCCATAACCCTTTTTTAACCCTCGTGACTCTTAGTCTGCCCCTCATGACCATTATTTTGACCCTCATGACCCTTAATCTGACACTCATGACCATTATTTTAACCCCCGTGACCCTTATTTTAACCCTTTTGGAGTTTCAATTTCGAGTACCAAATTTTTATCACCAAAAGTCGATTCAGATTTTTGTAATATAGACAGATGTAGCTAATTTTCCTCTAGATTTTTCATTCGAGTCAACTAAATTTTCCAACAAAGCAAAATTCAACAGAAAAAACATACCTAATTCTTTGAATTTGTACGTGGGCTGTTTTTTTAAAGCATGTTGAACATACTCATGCAAAATACAGACAGAACTTTTCCCCGAAGGATTCATAATCCAGTGTTTAGCAGGTCGTTGTCCCCCAGCATCATCCCCAGCCCCAGGACTGCCATTTCTAGTAGAAGTGGCACTTCCAATCGGAAATGTTATAAGTTTGGTACCGTCTGGCAGTGTTGGTCTTTCCAATTGTTTCCTATGCTTCTTATTCTTTGTAAATTTTCTCCTAGCTGACCATGACTGAAATCTCATGACTTTAATGGCTTTGAACCTAAAGATACTCTGACAATAATTCCGCAGTTGTTCGCTGTCTAGTGAGTGTGCTGCTAAGTTCTCCTGGATTGTTTCAATCTTAGCACTTGGCAGTGTGCAAGCTTCAGCTGTTGGCTCTCGTTCTTTCTCCTTTCGGCGTTCCTCCTCTTCTTCTTGTAGGGCACGTTTGTATTGAAGACATGGCACTGCACTAACAGGTACTTCATGTTTTCGTACACTTCCTGGACCCAGGAAATAAGGCTTTGCGAGTGTGCAAACGCGACTCTGTTTGTGGAGATATAATGGCATTCCACTGTTATGAGTTACTTGGACCCAACCCTCAGGTAAGACGTCGAAATGGTTGTGTCCAATCTCTGGAAATAGAAATAATTAGCCGAATGGTTTTCTACTCTATACATTATCCTAAAAAAGATGAATCTAATTATTTTGCGTTGAAAATTTTAAATTATGGAAATTGCTATTGTATATAGTATAGTTATCTTTGCTAATAATTTAGCAATATGCTTCCGAATGGTTATTTTGCACATCATTACTTTCTATCATGAATAATTCATTGTTTGTTTCATTTTATAAAATTAAATAAGATTTCCTTGTAGCGAATTTTGTCAGATTTTCACCTTAGTTCAATGTTATCAGCATCATTATTCTTATTATCCCTTTTCTTCTATACAACCAACTGTCTTTTCTACACTATTACCTCTACACCTCAGCCCTTCGATAAAATGTTGATAGAGAAATTTCATTTTCACATGCTTGAATGAATTTGAAACATCACATTTGAAGAAATCAACAGAAAGCTCACTTTCAGGGAACTTCATGAAAAATTCCAAATTTTCAACATTCATCATAAAAATCAAATTAACCAATACAGCTATCGCAATCATCTTTTAACTTCGACTTAAAGGCAGTAATACAAACATTTTAAGCTATGACTGCATGCACTGAAGCAGGATATTTAAAGATATCCCCACAATTCTGATTTTGAAAAAAAAATTTTTTGAAAATTTTCGAATAAATCAAACTAACGATGAGAAGGGACACCAAACAAATTTTTTTAGCCATCATTCAATCAATTCAGAACATTTTCTTTTTCGTTGGCGTGGGACAACCGATTTTCGAACAAATTCAAGAATTAAAAAAACTAATCGATGAATTAAATTTTAATCAATTATATATCATATATAATAATCAAACATAAGTACATACACACATGCGTATAGACATGGTCGAAAATTGCATTTTTGGACTTTGGATCATAATGAGTCGATATAACGAAAAAAATCCAAAATTTAAATTTGAACGATTACCATACTTCCATGCGGAAGCAAAAATTAACCAGGAGGAGCATGTTAAAGCCAAGAACACGAAAAACGATGTTTTCGCTTGACGTACGGGGTACAATGGATTGAGTCCTAAATTTTTCTCACTTTTTCGAATACACCGTGATACATCAAGAGTCGCTCGATAACTATTTTCATCAACCGACGACTTTCAAATTTTAGTATGGTACGAACAAGACAAGAATTTCAGGAATTTGTCTCACTGAAACGTTCATGCTTACAGCATAAATGAGTTTTGTTATTCTCAATGGGACGCAATTTTTCGTTGTTCATTACCAGTTTCATTCCAAGAAACCCGTCAATTTGACAATTAAATAACAACATACCATCCAGAACCAGTTTTTCTTTTTCTTCATAAGGCCTGCAATCATTTTTTCTCTTCTTCTTCCCTTTGAATTCCTCAGGAAGACCTGAAATTTTTTTATTCCCAAAATATAAACTGAGTATTTCAAGGCCCGGGTGGATTATCTTTCGAACGTGATCTCAGTTGTTTTTTTATTTGGATAATCTAAAATGATCTCCAATTGCTATTTAGTTTTACATAGCCCTGGAGTCTCTAAAAATTATGATTGTACAATAAAAAAAAACGTTGAAAAAAATCTGAACATTTTCAAAGAGCGTTTTTGAATAATATTGGGAAATAAACCCAATAGGAAGGAAATTGCAAATTAATAATTTGATGTATGTAATAGCTGTTAGGTCGTTATTTGTCACAGTAGTCAATGACTGTCAGATCCTTAATTACCATGATTATCCATTTTCTATTTCCTCTCTATCGGACTTATTTCTTAATCTTTATTAAAAACCCTCTTTGAAAATGTTGTTTTTTTTTCCTTTTTTTATTGTACAATCATAATTATTAGGGACTCCTGCGAGATGTAAAATCCAACGGAAATGGATTATCGGATATTTTACATTATGAAGACGGAAAAACAATCGAGATAACGTTCGAAAGATAATCCTCCCGAGCCTTAAATACGATTAAGAATATCATCTTGCGAATACACTTATGTCCTTTTTTTTACAAATAGCAAAAATCTTATCTTTTTTAAGCACGCAAAAAGATCGCAAACTTCTAAATAATTATTGCAATGGAACAATTTCACAATTAACTAATTATTTGTTCTGTAACTAAATTCTGTTATTCCGAAATTAAATGTAAAAATATTATCTGAACTTGAGAGTCACATGAGGACCATAGGTTTCAACAAAAGGAACACTTATTTAGCATAAAAGTTTTTCTATCCTAGTTTTTAAGATATGTGAATGTGTAAATATTGATTGTTATTGAATAAAAACCTCGGAAAAAAAATGAAGAATATCATGCGATTGCAGAGAAGTTATTTCATTACCTTCCTCCAGCATAGCTTCAATTTCCTCATCAGGTACATCAGAATCCATGCTCTCATTGGTATCAGTGTCATAATCGGACCCTTCTTGATCTGAATTTCTCCCAAGATCATCAAGAACATCAAACTGCCTCAAGTCGTCTTCATCAGCGTCAGATTGGTAACTTTGATTGTATCCATTCGCAATATCAGACATATTCTTTTCGCTCTCCCCATCCCTCTCGTTCTGATCATTTACCCTATGATTATTATCTTGCTCCATCCCCTCTTTCACCCCGTCACCCCCCTCTTCGTCAGAATTGTCATAATCAGGTACACCATCACCAGCACTCGCTGCATGGACTGAATTATGCTCAACTTTGGAGCGCTGAAAGGGACATTGAGATGTCTTGAGCCTCTTGGGAGGTGGCTCCTCCGATCCTGCCTCACTTTCCAGACTTTTCTGCTCCATCAGGACATTATTCTCCTCCTCTCCAGCCATGTTTCTTTCTCACTCCCCTAAAAGACTATTCTTATCAAATTTTCTGCTCAAACAGATGTAACGAATACACAAATTAATACGTTAGGTATCTTTATGTATTGTAATTGTAACCAAGAATATATTTTCTATGTGAAAAATGAAAAAGCGTGTCGCATGGCCACGCCACTTTCACCAATGAGCCCAAAGTCCAATCGATTTGAAACCATTGCTTTCAAAAGAATGGCAACGAAAATTGGACATTTGCATTGATGTTAGCAGTACGAGGCCTGTTCCATTATTTCTCTCATAAATAGCGTTTATCAAATTTCATCAGTTCTTTTTGTTAGACATTATCCATTGGTGCAATAAACAACGTAGCTCCAGGTGCCAGACAGAAGTGACATTGAAAGATCATTCCTGTTGCTGGCTGGAGCTGTACGAAGTTTCTCATCAACTGTTATTCTTTTCATTGTCAACTTTGCCAAAAATTCTCAAGTATTTTATCATCGTAACTCCCTACTGTTTTCGATTGTTTTTGTCATTTTGTATTGCCTGGTTTCGTCATTCCATTTCACTTATTGTGTTAGTTTACGTCATCTTCGGATGAAGGTAAATGGTCTTGATGCCTTGATTAGGTGTAATCTTAATTCTATAGTATTTACGTATTTACTTAACCACCGCACTCAAGATGTTTATGGCTTTTATTGTCGGTCGATTATTTTTAGGGAAGTGTTAAAAATACCTTGGGTTCTCTACTATGCACGTTTAATACTAATTGCTGGAGAGTTTGTACTCCGAAAGAATGACGACACTTGCACTGTGTAATAGAAATAACGAGGGAGAACAGACATTTCTGTTCTTTGTGCCAGAGTGAAGACTGTGAAATTCAATGCTCTTGCATCTCGTCGTTTCGGTGTCCATTGAGGATTGATGTTCTGCGTACGGTAGGTAACGATTTTTTTTCCAGTGGCGGGGATGGGAACTAATGTATACTCGGTCGATAAAAAATAACACCGGGTTCTTTTGAATGCGGCGACAACATGGGACACAACAAGTTTTCAAAAAACATTGAAAATCCCATTTTTTCTATCAGTAATTTAATTCTCAACTTGATCATATTTATTAATCAATAGTTTATTGTTCGCTCAGGGGATCGGTCTCTGTGACTTACCTCGATTATTGAAGATGACGGGTAATAATAATTATTGAAGAATTTAGTGAAGTAACTGAGCCATTTTTGACAGTCAAAAGACGATAAAATATTCCTGGAAATTTTCAAGATTCAATTTGTTGACTTGAAACTTTGGACAGCGATGATTTTCACCGAGCCGTAGTCAACAAGCAGAAAAGTTGAGGGTCAATGTGTGTACATGACCTGGATATCCGGCTATTGTAATCACCGATGAGCGTCGAGAACGCTGTTCCCACAGAGTCACGTGTACACAAACGATCGAAGTCGTCATCTGATCAGTGGTCACTAAATTATTTGTAGCGTCGAACAAAAAGCTTGAAACAGACCACAGCCCATGTTCCCAGTCAATCGAAACACCCGGACGAACCTAATAGGTCATAAGCAATTTTGTTTTAGTTTTTTCCCAAAATTTTTCCGGAAAAGTTCTTGTTCTCCAATTTATTTGTCATGTAATTAATGGAAATGACTTGAAAATGAAAAGATATGAAAGGAGGGGACAATAATGGAAGAAAAAAAATTATGGAAGTAAAAATACAAATAAAGAATGGCATGGAAAAATCCGTCGATACATTTGAATTTTTATTCTCAGAATCTTATTTTTCTAGTAAAAATTCCAAAATCACACGCTATTATCAAGAGGAAAAAAATGTGAAATAAAAGATGTAATCATATTTTCAGGTTTCGATTTTTTTTTTCAATTCTTACCGTGAATTTCAATGTTCTGTTGTTTTGTTTTCTGACGCAAAAGATTCAACCTGTATCATCCAAACTCATCATCATTTTTATTCGATTCTGTTTTTCCTTTTTCACTCACGTATCATTTTGTTTCCTTTACGCAACCCTCTGTCCTTAATATAGGGGAGACCGGGGCAAAATGAGACCCCCTGTTTTTTTTGTTTTTCAATGAGACAAATGAGTCCAGTGTTTTTTTTTCAATGCAACGTCGTTTAACAGATCACATAAGTTGAAATAGTTATTTTCATCACAAGGTCCACAAAGTATTTTGTGACGAATGTGGCTTTGTAGGCCTATAATCACATTCGTCAGAAAATACTTTTTTCATCAGGCTGTGACGAAAAGTGAACTTTTCGGCACGCTCCGCGTGCCTAAAAGTCCAATTTCCGCCACATTGTGATGAAAAATATTGTTCGTAACTCGTGAAAAAATGTTTTTTAGCTCGTTACGAAATATACTATTTTAGGCACGCTTCGCGTGCCGAAAACGTCCCTTTTCCACACATTGTGATGAAAAATATCGTTTGATACTCGTGGGAAAAGTGTTCTTTTGTCATTCCAGCCGTGAAGCAGCGCTTCACGGACGCTCCGTTCTGCGTCCGCGAATCTCTGCCTACGGCCGTCATGACAAAAAATACTGTTCGTCATACGGCCCAAAAAAAACTTTTCTAACTCATATGATTGCAGCCTGCACTCGTAACGAAATATACTATTATTTCTAATTTTTTAAGTTTTTTTTAGATTTTAATCTTTTTCTGAATTTGAATAGCTGATTTTCTAGTAAGACTGTTATTTTTGCCGTTTCTAATTCATTATTACCGATAATACTAGACTAAGAATTGAGCGTTAACTTAACCACACGGAGAGAAATATTCAGTAAAAATTACGGAACTGACAATTCGCTCACTGATTACGGAATCGACTCAGAAAATTTAAGTGACGGTATCGTAATTTTTCACAGGAGATTCAGATAAAAATTACGGAACGCTCTGGAAAAATTCCATGACAGTTCCGTAAAATTTCTTACAACCACATTCCACTCCGGAATTACTGTTACGGAAAAGATACGTAATTTTTATTGAATATTTCTCTCCGTGCAAAATGCTTCTATTCTTATTAATTTCCGTTTAGAATTTTTTCTGATTGTAATTTTTGACACCTGAGTTATATTCATACTACTTTAATTCTACTAACAATGGGGTATTCCATCAGTAACTGTAGAGCAATCAATCATTTGTGTAAAATCTCAAATTTTACATGGGTCTCATTTTGCTCCGCTGACCATTTTGCCCCGGAGTCTCTTTTTGCCCCAGTCTCTCCTAATACAAATGCTTGATATAATGAATATATATTGTGATATCAAATATAGACCTGCGACAAGAAGTCCAATCCCATACATTTGGTGCTAAATGAAATCTCCGAGGGTAAATTGAAGGCATGGGTTTTAGCGACGAGTTTCAACGAAAAAGGTACATATACACTTGATTCGGCTTTTCCCATTTCAACGTTGAACTGAAAGCAGTAATTCTTGCACGCGAAAAAAATCCATCGGAAATGAAATTGATGCACGTTTCCGTTGTACAACATATTAACTTGTTTTTTGAAATTATGCAAACATATTTAATGATCTTTATAGTTTAGTTCTCCTGACATTTGCGAGAAGAAAAATGGTAATCAAGGAATACAATGTCTCTTTTACGTGACGAGAACTGGGGAAAACTCAGCGAGTGCGTTGTTCCTAGTTCTGCCATATGAGGACATAACGTGTGGATTTCCACCCCATTTCCACCCTTTTCGCCCTTTCCCTCTCTCCCTCATTTGCAGTTTTCTACTGCGTCTCTCTGTTCGCCTGATACCCGTGCCGTAGCATATGTAGAGGGAGTCGTGAGGTCAGACATCAAAAGTGTTTAGAAAAAGTAGCCCACGGGCCATTCAGCTCAACCCTGCCTACGGTCAAAGAAAATTTCACTTTCGTTGGAGACCCTTGAGGGTTGTACTCCAAGAAACGAGTCGCCCTCATTCAAATGTGTATTGCTATCACACGCTCTTACTCATATGTAGGCGCAAAGGGCTTTTGCGCCGGGTTACATGCTTTCCTAGTCCACCAAGTTGCCTAATGGCAAGCTTTGTTTCCAAGGCAACGCGACCACTTGTGGTACCACCAACGCTGCCTGGTTAACGCCACCGATGCGTTATTTCTACAATCCTCCGTAGATCAGGGTGGAATGATTATCAACGATTCAACATCAAAGCCGGATCAAGACCATAAATAAATGCAAATAAAGTGCATGAGACGAAAAATGACGCATTGCTTATTAGACCCTCGTCTTCTAGTCCTTACACCTACGGTACTCCTGTGTACATGAAAGGGTCCACGTGACTAGAGATGCGAAATGACCGTCATTTTGTGATTGTGTCATATGACCAAAAAATGACGGTCATGTGACGTCCCGAACTTTCTAATTGCAAATGACGGTCACTAATTTTTGTGACCGTCACAAAGAATTTTTGACCGTCAAAAGAGTAAAATAGTAATTTCCGTTACCAAACCATCTATATAGGTGCAAAATGACCGTCATAAATATATTGCTTTTTGTGACGGTCATATAATTTCTACATAATTGGCATCGTTCATTCGTTCAATTTATTATTGATTATCAATTATTGTTTATTATAAGGTTTTTATGGAAGATTCGAAATGTATGTGTACAACTGTACAACAGTTTTTTTTAATTATGAAATTATGAAACATGTGCTTACATATATTTTTGCATACTCATGAGAGAATGATCACACTTTTCATCTTTGGAACAACATAAACGAAGCCAAGAGTTCTAGATACTAAAGTAAGTAAACAAAGTCAAGAGTTCTAGTTAATTAGAAAAAAAAAAATAGATGAACAAAGAAGTGTTTCATCTATATAGATGCAAAATGACCGTCATAGTTTTTTGGCCAATTGTGACCGCCATGGAAAAATTTTTTGTGACTGGACCGGCGGTCATTGGGGCCTCGTCATGTGACCGTCAATGACGGTCACATGACGCCTTCCCATTTCTACACGTGACGCCTTGATTGAATTTCATGTTTTTTGGGGTCGCTGATTCTGAATTCCTTGGTTACCAGTTCGAAAAAGTGTCGCTTCAATTGTTATTAACCATTTTAATTACTTAGAAGGCTGTAAGTCTTCAACTATTGTAGATACGCGAAAATTTACAAATTCTAAAATACTTCTACAATTCAGTAGCGAAGTGTAAAACGGTATCAGTGAATTTTGACTATTGACCAGTTTTCAATCAATATTTCGGAATCTAAGGGAGATAGCAAAATTTCTGTTATAACCTTTTTTGTTGAGCCGATTGAGTGCTACAACGAATGTAATTATGAAAATTTTGCTATCTTCGTTAGATTCGGAAATATTCCTCAAAAACTCAACTGCGAGATAAGTCGACTGAAACCCTTTTACCACTTCGCTACTGAATTGTTTAGCATAACTTTTGTCGTTTATAAAATTTCGATAAATCGAAAAGTTGGCGGGATATATGCGATGGGATCGTTGCGCGGTCCTGGTGGTGAGAATATTCCACGTTAGAGGTGCTATACAATACCAAATGAATGTCCGCCACTCCTTCCTGGAAAGTTTGTTGTTTTTAAAAGTTTACTGGGAATATAATCTTCAGATAATCCAAATCCCCAACAGAAAAATCGAATTTTTAGAACTCAATTTAGTTTATTTAAAGCATTCTTACATGTTCCTGCAATGACACATACTCAAAATCTCACAAAAAAAATATACGAAAAAATTGAGACTGACAAGAAAATTGAGAGTAAACTACAGTACAGAGAGAGATTTCAAACAAGCGAGTAAAGTCACCTCTATAGGTACCGCATGGGCAGTCCAGTCGTCGGCGACTTTATCGCGCACGCATTTGGCCGCGCAACTTTCCATTGCGTGTATCTCCTTAATTAATTGATTCATCAACATTTTGTAAAAGATAACAGTTATTCTAAACAATTGTAGAAACATGTTAGAATTTGGAATTTTTCGCGTATCTACAATAGTTTAAGAGATACAGCATTTTAAACAATTAAAATTATTCATAACAATTGAAGCGATAATTTTTCGAACTGGTAACTAAGAAATTCGGAATCAGCGACCCCAAAATCATAAAATGCAATCAAGTTGTCACGCGGACTCTAGCATATACACAGGAGTGCCGTAGGCGTAAGAATTATTCTGAGGTGCATTCCAAAATGCTTTGATATATTTTAGATACTCTTTTATCTAGCTATCCACGTTTCTTATTCAATAACACATAAATTTTCATGCTTCATTGTTCATTTTTCATTCTTCATCGTTAAAATTTAGAATTCGATTTAAACCTTCCCATTCTAATGATTTCCATTTATAAATAATTTACATGGATCTCCCTGAATAAGATGTTATGCCATTAATAAAAATGCAATCTATTATTTCTGGAAATATGCGCTGGAATTTACCATGTCTTTTATGTAATACGACAAGTATATTTTACTTTCCTCCGCCAGAAGATTCCATAGTCCATTTTCGGTGAACAAACACCAATCGCCCAGTACTACCTGTTTATTCCGTGTATTTTCATTTATCGTAATAAGGCCATGCGGGTTTTTATTGCCAAAAGTAAGCTTACAGTAAATACTCATTAATATTGCAACAAGACTGTTCATCACAATACTCGATGCTAATAAAACAATAAGTACTACAAATACTAGAAAGTTATTATTATTATTATTACTATTATTATTAGCGAACGGGCGCTTCGTGCCCCTCGCTAGATTAATTTATACTATGTTATTTTATTTTATATTTTATAATGACGAAAAACCAATGTATTTTCTTTCTATTATCTAATTCTGGTGGAAGAAAGTGAAAAGTGCAAGAGAAACGAGATCAACACGAAAACAGAATTTTCAATTTTTCAGTGTCTAGGGAAAATTTTATCGAATTCTTATTATGTCATTATTTATTTCTACATTTAGGATACATTGCCCCATCACAGAGAGGATGAAATATACAGAATATATACGATGTGCAGTGGTACACTGAGAGAAAAATCTGAAGTTCCATTTACAATAAGAAAATAGTTGAGGCATTTTGGTGAACGATACGATTTTTTTTTGTATGCGGCACATAACATTATAGTAACGTCACAAGCGTAATTTTTGCAAATCAAAATGCGGTTAAACTAACCAAAGTTCAAAAGTAACTATGACAAATCTATCGTGTGTAGAACTATAAAATAATTGCAATGACTACATTCCATTGTAGTAATTACTTCTCCGGCCATAGTTGCCGTAACCCATGAAAAATTGTTGAGGACTTTTTGACTATAATTCGATGGTGATGGAATATAGTCAGAAGAATTATATTTTTCTCTCAGTGTATAAAGAAAAAAAATTTCACATTTGGAAGAGCAGAATGTGATAAACCAAAGACGTAAATATGACTTGAAAGCTGTTAAAGAAATGTACAACGAGAATCTACTGGCCTTATTCACTAAGAGATTATTGAAATTACTGAGATTAAAGCAATTTATAAATTTACTTTGCACTGTCTATCTGCTCTGCGAAATGTTGATGTACTTACCGCCACAATTCGCCTTATTCAAAGATATTTTTAAAAATGAGTGAGGCACGGAGAGAATTGATAAACGAACTGCATAAAATCTATAACAGAAATTTTCTTCGGTCATTCAATGACGTTGAACATTAAAATATATGGTCGTAATATTTGACGTTATTACTGGCACAGCCTGCAGACGTAAAACACAAATCCATTGTTTGTTAATTTTTTACATCTCCCCCGTCGATGGAACGATCAGGTCATGCACGAATTTACGTGTCGATGACTCGTCATCATTTGTATTTATTTATGATGTACCCGGAGTTCCCGCGATTTTTTGCGCATCTGGAGTTAAACGTAAAACTAAAGTAAAAACTGCAAATTTGAATTGCCAATCGAAAGCCTAAAAAATATTGCCTCGCTTTACCATTTCGACGAGGAATGTAAAAATCAGCAAAGAGTTTATTAGAAGGAGGTTTCCTCATTTTCAGGAAATCATAGACACTAGTGACAAGATAGTCATTGATGAATTGGCAAATATTGTGTGACGAGCGAATTCGTGAATAGAGAATTTATTCTACTATTCTAATTTTTCGACGATGCACAAGTCGATTAATGATAGGCAAGAAACTCCTGGTCAGGCTGTGAAGGTAAAGTGGTAGGGGAGCTGAGACTTGGAGTGCACTGAACGCTTATAAAAGGCGTAAGTGATCGGGAGGACGAGCAGTTCGGTGGTAGTTGGTCGGCTGAAACTAGACCGCTCTAGTGTTAATTAATCTTAGGTGGGTGAAATCAATTGACATTTTTTTCTCCAAATCAAGTTCAGGTTCCACTACAAAAAAGAGGAATTATTAGATATTTTAACTTAATTTTAATCAATTTTTGTGTTGACATGAGTGAAAAAGTTTAAAAAAAGTGAAACTTATTCTTTGTTTGGAATACAAATGGACGAAATTATGGAATGAAATTAGTAATGAATTGTCTGTGATGAGAAATAAATCTGACAATTTTGTAAATTTATTTTTCAGAAATTTTTCACATAAAGTTAAGAGGATGTCTGCAGCCGGACCCGAAGTGGTTGCTGGTACCGTCGGTGCATCTGCAGCGGCTGGTATGTCAGCATCGTCGACCTTTTTAGCACTACTAGTCCCAGCACTTGTGCTATGGTTCGTCTACTTCAGAATTTCAAGACGTCACATGATTGAACTCGCTGAGAAACTTCCCGGACCCTCTGGCTATCCTCTTGTTGGAAATGCATTAGAATTCGTTGGAAGCTCAGACAGTAAGTCATTACGGAGCATGTTTTTAAAAGCACAAATTTACTATTCATTCTGTGCCCCCTTCCACGAAATAAATCATTTGATTTCAGTAGTGTAATGTTAAACGTGATCATTAAAATTCAACATTTTCCCAGGAACTTTTAAGAGATTTTTTTTGTAATCGGTGAAGGTTTCAATAAAAATCAAAATTCAAAATTAAAGGAGATGTGCACGAATGAAAAAATTTAATAGAAAAACCTAAGGAATTCTTTAGAAAATTCTATTGGATTTCTATTGAACTCTCTATTAGTTTTTGTCCGATTCTATTGAAATGTTCAATAGAAAATATTCTATAGAAAAAGTGAAAAGCATTCGATTTTTCAACGACTTATTCTATTAAGATGTTTTCTATAGAATTTCCTCGGCTCAAATTATTCAAGTTTCTTTGTTTCATTTTCTTGATGAGAAGGAAAGAAAAATAGAATGAAAAAAATTTAGAAAATGGGAACCAAGGAAATTCTATAGAAAATATCTGAAGGGAATAAGTGATATAGAAAAATTGAATTCTATTGACTTCTTCTATTCACCATTTCAATAGAATCGGCCAAAAACTATTAAAAAGTTCAATAGAAATCCGATAGAATTTTCTAACGAATTCGCTGGGTTTTCTATTAAATTTCTTCGTGCGTGCGTAAAATTTAGTTATCATTTTTACATCGTTACTGATTTAGTCGTAATTAAAAAAGAAAATCAATTCTAGTCCATAAATTCAAAATTGACTGAACTAATTTTCAATTCCCTTTCAGCTATCTTCCGTAACATCTACAAGCGTTCCTTTGAGTTTGACCAAGTGATCCGTCTCTGGATCGGTCCCAAACTCCTGGTCTTCTTGGTCGACCCACGGGACGTTGAAGTCATCCTTTCCAGTCACGTATACATCGACAAGTCCCCAGAGTACAGATTCTTCCAGCCATGGCTTGGAAATGGACTCTTAATTTCCACTGGTAAGTAATCAAATTTTTCACATCTCTCGGATTCCACACGGAGACAATTTTTCTAGAAAAGTTGATGTGCTAGCACCACAAACGTAGTGCAATTTCCACCTGCGAAAAGTTATCATGCAGCACCAGAAGAAACAGTCGTGCTACACCATAAACATTTTTATGCGGCATGTGGTAAATTATTGGAGGCACTATAATTTTTTTGTGTATCTCATGAATTTTCTATGAAATTTTTCTCCGTGCAATATTTAAAAAACAATGAATATTCTTTCCTTTCACGTACGAAAGAAATCAATAGAAAATCGTTGCGAATTCGCTGGACAATTCTGTTTAACTTTCTATTAGTTTTTGGCCGATTCTGTTGAAATGTTCAATAGAAAATATTCTAGAGAAAAAGTCTATAGAATTCGATTTTTCGACAGAATTTCCTCGGCTCAAATTTTCCAAGTTTTTGTCATTTTGTTTTCCTTTTCTTTTCATCACGAAAATCAAACACAAAAATTTGAAAAATTGGAGACGCGGAAATTCTATAAACAATATCTCAATAGAATAAGAAAAGAAAATAAGAATAAGAATCGGCCAAAAACTAATACATGGAGAGAAATATTCGCAATGGGGAATCGTTTTCCGGTAATTTTTATAGGAGTGGAAGAGAAGAAATCTGAAACGGTCAGTGAATTTCAGGTTCATCATCGAACAAAGTACGAAATTGTCACGTAATTTTTCCCGGAGAAGTAAAATCTTACAGAAACTTCCCGACTTATTATGCCTCCAAAATCAAAAATTCTTAAACGTTCAACAATTTTTATGAAGCTGATGAGTTATTTTTATTTTGTTTCGTTCCGTAAAATTTCTCAATCGTTGGGGAAAAATTACGGAACGACTTGTTCTCCCCACAGCACTGAGTCATTAGACGGGTGGTTAATTTTTACGGAACAAATCGTAGAATTTACGTGGCAATTCGTACAATTTCAGTTCCGACTCACACATTTTATTGAATTTTCCTTCGCTCGTGCATTACGTTTTGAAACGTAATTTTTACGTAATTTTTTTGGTAATTTTTATTGAATTTTTCGCTTTATCTAGAAAGTTCAATCGAAATCCAAGAAAATTTCCTAGCGAATTCGCTAGATTTTTCTGTTAAATTTTTTCGTGCGTGTTATGATTTGTGAGATCTATGCAGATTAATTTGCTTTTAATTCCTTCAAATTACTCCAGAATTTCCGCTTGTTCCTTCGATAATTACTCCAGAAAAAATGATCCCGTTTAATATACACTCTTAAAAGACGATTAAATCACGCGATGAAGTAGCAGAAAAACCAGTGTTATGCAAATACTGACTGAAATTTAGAATCAAATGATGATGATTTAACTTGTCTGTTGCCTTAATTCTTTTTTGATGACTTGTACTTCTATCCCGGAAATGTGATTGGGAAATCATTTGGAACTACAACACAACGTAAAAAAAACATAAAATATTCAGAACGATAAAAACATTTATTTCCTCGGGAGTAAAACAATTGATGCGAAATGACCAAGTGTTATCGTAGAATATGCACCGCTTTCCCCCACAGCTGATACAGTTGAGTACATTTTTAAAATTTTTTTCAACTGACGAATACACGCCAATTTAATGATAGTAGATTTCAATTACTGACACTCCCAGAGAAATTTACACACAGCTGAAGTCCACGGGGAGTACGTAGACACACGACCAATCTATTGCATAGAGGTGAAATGTAGGCCGAACAGGAAGCAAATTTTAGCGTCTCATGCACTTGCTCGAAGGATCTCGATACTTTCACTTACGCCAATAAGTTACTTAATCTTTAATCTCAATCGTCTTGTTTCTTCCTTATGAGTCGTGACAAATTTTAGGCATTGAACAACTTGACTATTTTTATGTAAATAATGGATGAACTAGCGAACGGGCGATTCGCGCCCGTCGGTAGATTAATTTATACTATTTTATTATATTTAATTTAATTTTATTTTATTTCCATTTCCGTCTTCACAATTCAGTAGTGCAGCCGTAAACCGGGTTAAGTTGATTTTGACGTTTGGCCAGGTATTTATTAATATCTCGGAATCTATGAGAGGTAGCAAAATTTTTCTCATGACCTTTTTTATAACCCTCAATTGGCCCTACAAAAAAGGTCATAACAAAAATATTTGTATCTCTCTCAGATTCCAAGATATTCGTCAAAAACTGGCCAATAGTCAAAATCGACTTATCCCGGTTTACCGCTTCGCTACTGAATTATATTAATTTAATTTTATCCATTCTTATTCTTGTTATATATACATTTTTCCGCCATTCACAAGTTACAACATTGAATGAACAGGAATTATGTTGAAGAACAATCAAAAGTGTTTTTTTTTTATTAAAACAAACACGAAACAAAAGTCATTCTAAATCTCATTCGGGCAATAAAAAAAACTCTCCATGTCTTCCTGAAAATTTTTTAAATCAAATTTTCCCTTGATATGGTTAAAAGATACAGGTACTCCTCACTCCGATGGTCGAATTCCAATTATTATTATGAAAAGAAAACGAAAAAAGAATGAGAAAGGGATAATCGACTAGAAAATGGATTTTTTCTTCTTTTATGTCGGCGACAACTTTGCATCACTTTTTTTCTTCAAGTATTAGAGAAATATCAATATTTCAGCGAGAAGATATCAGCGAATATTTCAGCGAGAAGATATAATAAATGAATGTTTCAATGTCTCCGGAATCTTTTAAAATCCTTTTTTTTCGAATAATGGAAGAGTATCCATAAATTCGATTTCTATCTTCATCTTTCGATAGAATGCATGAAACAAATGCCAGAAATTGAGAATTGGAGACTAAAAATTTTATCGAATTATTATTATGTAATTTTTATACTCACTTTATTCCATCAAATGATTAATGATTAATGATAAATTCCGATTCAATACGAATCGAAGGCTAATTACCCAAAATTATTATTCAATTTTGAAGAAAAAGATCGCTGTCTTGAAGGACTGCAACACCAATTGATTCAAAAGCTTGAAGAAAAATTCTAAATTGACTTGAATGAAAATCTTTTCCAGGACAAAAATGGCGTGCCCACCGTAAACTCATTGCTCCAACTTTCCACTTGAACGTTCTGAAGAGTTTCATCGACCTCTTCAACGCCAACTCCCGTTGCGTAGTTGAGAAAATGCGCAAAGAAGGTGAGAAGGAATTCGATATTCATGACTACATGTCAGAAACCACCGTAGAAATTCTATTGGAGACCGCCATGGGTGTCTCAAAAACAACGCAAGACCGCAGTGGTTTTGAATACGCCATGGCAGTCATGAAGATGTGTGACATTCTCCACCTTCGTCACACCAGGGTTTGGTTGAGACCTGACTGGCTCTTCAACCTGACCAAGTACGGAAAAGATCAGATTCAACTCCTGGAGATCATCCATGGATTGACGAAGAAAATTATTAAGCGCAAGAAGGAGGATTACAAGGCAGGGAAACGTAACTTTATTACTGAGAGCAAAGAAGCCAGAGAAGCCAAAGCTACTAGTGTGGAGGGACTTTCATTCGGTCAATCGTCTGGTCTCAAGGACGATCTTGATGTTGATGACAACGATGTCGGTGAGAAGAAGAGGCTGGCCTTCTTGGATCTTCTGATCGAGGCTGGACAGAACGGAGTTGTTCTCAATGAACAAGAAGTTAAGGAACAAGTCGACACCATCATGTTTGAGGTAAGAAGATGAAAATTGTGGAGAATACAGTCCAATCTTCGTACAAGAAACCACAGGGACTGTAGGGGAATAAAATTTCGAAAATCACGTATCCCTTTACTTGCGCTCAGAGGGGAAAATATTTTGATTTGATATTCTTCGTACAAGATACTAGATGATTTTCATTTTTCATGATCGTTTTAGTACAATTCCTGGTGTGAAACACGACTGTTTAATTAAAAGGTATGGTTCTTCCTTAAAATAACAATTTTGAAGCGCGGAATAAGTTAGTTTATTAATAGGGGCCTGGGAGGTCAAATTGAGACTATCATTAGAATTTTGTTTTTTTTTTCATAAAAATTTGGTTGAATTTTGTTTTGTTTTGACCCTCCATCTATCCAAAATTGGACGTAAAACTCATGGTGCAATACTTGTAGAAAAATAGATATTTTACCAAGTGCAATGACCGATACGTTTATTTTTTTAAATCAATTATAACGACTTCGTTTTGAAATTCAATTGATGTGCAATTCTAGATCATAGATGCATATATTTTCAATAATTTTTGCAATATTCCAACTCCATGCCCACTCAATTCAGGGCCTAGCCCTTTTTTCGAGCATCTTGTATGTACGGAGAATACGAAATGAAAAACATTCACGCCAGGAAGTGGAAGTATTACTCACCACGGTTTCAGGCCTAGTATCTTGTACGAAAGGATCTTGTACGGAGACTGGAATGTACACGCATAACAAAAGTCAATAGAAAACCTAGCGAATTAGCTAGAAAATTCTATTGGAATTCTATAGGCATTTCTACAGGATTTCTATTGAAAAATTCTACTTATTTTCTGCGCCGGATGATATTGCATATTTTATAGGAAGAAGTGAATATATTTTGAATTTTTGTTCGCATTTTTTTTGAGCTTTCTTCTATTAGAATTATTGGGCACAAATTTTTTGGTTTTTTTCGATGAATTTTGCTTCGTTTTGCATTACAGAATCCGAGTGGAAAAAACTTGGAAAATTGATGCCCAAGTATTCTTATCGAAAAAAATCTCAAGAGAAAAATTCAAACAGAAATTCGAAATTTATCAACTTTTTCTGATCAAATATCCAATAGAATTAGCGCCAAACAACAAATAGAATTTTCCAATAGAATTCCAATAGAGTTTTCCAGCGAATTCGCTAGATTTTCTATTGAATTTTTTTATACGTGTATAAACATGAGAGTGAAATTCTTTACATTGCGGATTGATGATTAATTTTGTGTTCAATTTTAGGGTCACGATACCACCGCTGCTGGCTCCAGCTTCTTCCTCTCAATGATGGGATGTCACCCAGAGATTCAGGAGAAGGTGATCCAGGAGTTGGACGAGATCTTCGGTGACAGTGATAGGCCAGCTACATTCCAGGATACTCTGGAGATGAAATATCTTGAACGCTGTCTGATGGAGACTCTTCGTATGTATCCACCTGTACCAATCATTGCTCGTCAGATCCAGACTGATCTTAAGCTTGGTAAGATCTCCCATGATATAAATGAGATATTCAGCAAAATCTGCCACGAAATTTGAATTTAACATTTACTCATCAATTTTCAACAGCATCCGGTGATTACACCGTTCCCGCTGGTTGTACCGTCGTTGTGGGTACCTTCAAGATGCATCGCCAGCCCCACATCTATCCAAACCCAGATGTCTTTAACCCAGACAATTTCCTCCCTGAGAAGACAGCAAATCGCCACTACTATGCATTCGTGCCATTCTCAGCTGGTCCACGCTCCTGCGTAGGGCGCAAATACGCTATGCTTAAGCTCAAGATTCTTCTCTCGACCATCCTGAGAAACTTCCGTGTCAAGTCCGACATCAAAGAGTCAGATTTCAGGCTCCAGGCTGACATCATCCTGAAGAGAGCCGAGGGCTTCAGAGTAAACCTTCAGCCAAGAAAACCTACTGTGAAAGCTTAATGGGATAGATATCAATAGTCATTTTTAATGGGGGTGTTTCGTTGTTTTTTCAAAACCCTCAAATCCTTTTAACTAGTTAAAATTCATCACCCGGGAATTGGTTGGCCGGGTTATTTTACTCATTCAATTTTTGCGTTTTCTGTTACAACCTTGGAGATAGGTGTAAATCATTGTACATGTTTGTATAGATTTTCAATCGTTTAAAGTTTTATTCCGTTAATTTTTTTCCCGGGTGATCGTATACTGTACTTAGAATTTATTTTATTGTTAAATTTGAATAATTTATCTATCGTATGAAATAAAGTTTGAGTTTGCTTTAGAAAATTATTAATCCGCCTGTGATATTGATACTCTATATTTGTGTCCCTTCTTTTTTTCAAGACAGTTGAATCTCAACTATTTAATCAATCTATTCAATTTTGCGTAGTAAGGTCTACAATTTGATCACCACAAAATGCCGAAGGAAAACAATAATATTCGGATGCCTTGTGATGAGAATGAACGCTTCGCCATTAAGCCGAGTATTATCTACGCACCAAGGATAAAACCCCTGACGCGTGCTAAGAAAGTGGAAATCCACGAGGTGAAAGCTAATCTCAAGGTGCAACTGCCTGCGCTCACGCCTACCGGGGTTAGAAGGTTTATTTAATTTTCGGATTATATATGTGAAGAGATTAAGGTATTTATGGCCGGGCGGGCATGTAGGAAGTGAGACGGAGGGAAATTTATTGTTCTCTCGCAGAAAACCAATCGCTGAACAAAAAAAAACGATATTTCAATTACAAATTTTCAATCTATTTCAACCATTTTTGTGTTCGAAATGTTTGTTAAATAACTTTTCTGTTTTTTCCCACATATTTCAAGCCTTTTTTTATTTTTCTAGCTTGGCTTTTGGATAATTGGAAAATAATTAATATGGATAGAAAAAGTGAAGTCGTGCCGTTCGAGGTACAAGTTGCCAGCACTGATTTACTCAGCTGTTATGTTCTTTCCCGTAGCGAAATGTATCATTGCAACTCCATTCGTATTTGCCGCGCTTACCCCTCCACGATTGCTATGAGTTTTTTCATTATTCCTTCTAAATAATTCTCCTAGACCACTTGGATTATTTTGTTTATGTTCCTCCATGAAAGCTCCACCCAAGTATTTATTTTCCTTGCCATATATACCCTATTCGAGTTTTTACATATTTGCGATTTCATGGGCCGACTTCAAATTCAACCGTGTCACATTGTACCCCAGAAGCTGTACCCTACGTACAGACTCTCCTGGTGACCAAGAGATACCATGGAAAACCTTGGTTGACACGGGCGTCCATCAACCGCGTTTCATCGGAGAATGCTTTCCTAACACTTCTTCGATTATTCTCGGTGTCTAGACTTCCGATCGACGATTTCCGAAAGATTAAAAATCCCAATTGCCCCAAGCCGGACTTGAACCTGCGCCTCACGGGTCCCGCTGTCGGGCCGATTTAACCACTTCGGCCACCGCCGCCGGTTGCTCCACCCAAGTACGAAATTTCAGGAAAATGGCGACTTTTTTTTCTATTTTTAACATTTTTTGCCGAATTCCCATAAGAGCCCGAGTTAAAATAGATTTTTTTGAAAAATTCCTGTTTCACCCATTTTCCTAAGTTATCTGGGATTCCGCATAGCGATTTTAAAAAAATCATAGAATGTATCAACAAAAAAATCAATTTCTTGATTTTTTCCGACCGCCCCTGATCACGCCATAAATGCCTTAACCCTAGTCTGATCACCAAATGCGACCCTGCGATTGGTCACCTCTGCGGGGATTCACCGCCGTCTATTTAGGCTTTAGCATTTCCGAATTCACTCTACACTGTACGGGCGCGTTTAGCGAGTTTCCGGCAACGTCGCGTCATGGGCAATTTCATTCAACATGGGAAAAAATAATTCATCTGTCCGAAATAATTTGTTTTCTTTGAGAATTTTTGGAAATATGTTGTTCTAAAAATTACTATAATTTTTTAGACACTTCAATTGACAAAGTCAAATTTTTTAGAATTTTTCCGATTAGCCAGGCAATTGTAATTAAAGAAAAACGACGCACGGCGGGGTTTCCCTCATAGGATGTCTAATCTAGGGTTAACAGGATACTAAGTCAAATTGTACTGTATATGTCATACTTTATGTGAAGATATCGCGTACCACATCATGAAACGGTTTTATTGGAGCTTAAGGAAGCCGGGTTTCAAGAGGCAGAGGATTACTTTAAACAGGTCTATGAACATGAGGCTAAATCGATAAATCTTGAAACTAAAAGATTAAAAGAGCAACGTCACCTCATCGAACGAATTAAATATGGGCTAGTGAATGCAGAATTGGCGAAAAGAGCAAGTAAAATGATGAATGACTGTCTCCCAGAATCTGATGCAAAAGACTAACTATATTCAACACTTAAAATTATAAAACATATATTCAAGATAAACCAATGGAACAGACAATCCAAATGTTGGAAACAGCATTGTTTTTTCAATCGTTGATGCCAGAATGGTTTTGGATTGCTGATAAGGTGTTCCAGAGTGCTCTGAAAATTTCAACCGAAATCGTGGAAGATGATGGAGAAATGTTAAATATCGTAAAATATATTTATGGAACTTTTCTCTTTCATAAGGGTAAGTTTTCAACTTCCCAACTTAAGGATAATCGGGCGAGTCCGGAGGGTTAGAAAAAAAGCAGCCATTTTTCTCTTTTATTTTTTACGTATTCTTTAAATGATGGAAAAAGCGTGTACAACGTTTCAGACTGCTGGGGAACATGGTTAATTTATTATGAATTTTTGAAAAAGTGGTCATTTAACCCGTGATCTTATGGAAATCACAAAAAAAAAAACTGCAAAACCCAAGGAAAAAATGCAGCCAAAGTCATGAAACTTTAAAGACATTTAGAACATGTGATCAATGATTTTTCGAGTGAAAAAGATTGTCGCCTAGGAGCATTATTTATTAATAATAGCGAAAAAAGCACTGAAAAATGACATCTCTGCGCACGCAGCCGAAACGAGCAGCAACGCCTGGATTGGAGCTCCCTCGAGCCAGTGGTACCAGCTCCTGGTGAAAAAAAAAACAACTACCGACGATGTTGCCACTTTTTCGCATGGATTAATATTTTTTCATTTATTAAAAAAAAAACAATCTGAAAACCATTCAATGCGTGGAACAGATACAAATAAATTTGATTAGCTGCAAAAATAATTTGTAACCGGAGATACTTCCTAATATTGCCTGAATTTTGAATCCGAATGGGAAAAATTTTTTTGTTCAGCGATTGGTTTTCTGCAGGAAAACAATAGAAAACCCTCCGCCTCACCTCCTACATCTCCTCCTCACCCGATTATCCTTATAGCTTCGTTACTCGCGTGAAACCGTACATGATTGGTCGCATCAAGGCGCCCTACCCTAATGTAAATCTGAGCGCGCCATTGTCACAATCCATTCGGAGAGTAAACTCGCTAATCTCCTGGCAACCACAAGTGTGGCAACACCGTGTGAAATAGATCCATGTCACGATCAGTCGCGTCGCGGAATGGCGCCGTATTTTTGATTCCCAGTTAACATAGGAGTGAATTTTCTCTAATCAGGGGCTTTGACCGTGGTTAGACATTGCAGAATATGCTTTCCCTTTATAAAAACATGACTGTAACGGATTTTGAAGCCAGTAAATGTGCCTTACTGTATATAGTATAGTATCCGTAGGCGCAGAGGTTAGCCGTCATCCCCTGATATATATTATAATAAAATAATATAATAATATTATATATAATATAAATACTTCATAATATTATATTATTATTATATTATATTATAATTTATATTATATATATTATTAAATGTATTTTATTATTATTGCATTAATATATACATATATATTAATACAATAATAATACCCCAGTTCTAGTTAGATAAAATCAGTAAGGCATACAAATTTTTGCATGTTTTTTAATGAATTTTTTCGAAAGTTATTTAAAAAAATAGAATTTCACCTGCGTGGTGCCGTGGACGCGAGTAACGAAGGGTTAATTGTTATGAGTTCCATTTTATATAATCGTTCTAGTATTGATGTATCAATGTAGTGATTTTCCTTTCAATGACTAGTAAAAGATGCAAGAAGTGCTTTCACTCTATTAGACGAAGCTCGAAAAGCATCCGAAGGAAAACGCTGGAATGCTTCTAAAATTTTAAAGGCTAAACAATGGCCTCTATTTCAAGAGAGTAATCTCATTTTGAATGAGGTGTTAATAGCGCTAGCTGAGCAATCGAAAGACGAAGATCCGAATTTAGCGGTGAAGATTCTAATTGATGCGATTGAAAGAGCCAGTGATTGTGAGTTGATTACATTGCCTGATTTTACCTGATGGGGCAGCCCATATATTACATACGACGATTCTCACCTATTCTGGACCCCCCCCCCCCCNCTCCTCCCTCATGGAAGAAATTGAAAGATTTAGTAGACTCCTCCCCCTTCCTAATAGAGCTGCGGGACACCCCCAAAAAGCGTTTCTAAATTGACCGACCGACCACTCGTGTTCTAATGCGTAATGCTTTTTTGAACAATGAAATATGATCACGGAATGTCGAGTAAACAATTTTCAATCAATTTTAGGCATTGCAGCTATTTATTATCAACAATTTAAATGTCCAAATCGCCCGAATACCCAAACTATGAAAGATATACGAACATTTTCGGACTATGAATCATTTAGAATTTGAGGAGGAATAATTTTTGTCTTTTGTCAATTTCACATATCTCGCGTGCGAAAGGTTCCGAGTTCAAATCCCGGCCGGGTAGAATGGTGCGATCTAACCATTTAAAGTCTTGATCATCATCGCAGTATACCCTGACCGGGTCAAAGCAGTGTAAAATAACGATAAAAAATGTGGCGGTTTAGTGCGGGTCATGAAATAAGAACTCGTTGTTGTGGAATAAAGACGTTTGTATTTAGATTTAAAGAGATGTGTTTACATCGGGTGTCGGTATCGGACTGAACATTTTGGTCGGGAATACGAGGGTTTATATACCTTTTCTTATAGAGCGTGCGAGAATTGTCCAGAAATTTCGTAAGGAACAAGGATAGGATGATATTTGTCTCGGTAACGACAATAGAAAATATTCGAGACGTGTTAATCGAAATTCGACATAATAATTCGTTTGTAGCTCACGCCACAAACAAATAGTATTTTTCTGTACTGCTTCTCACGATTTCTCGTCTGGGAATTGGTATTACATACTTCCCAAACTCGAAAACTTGAAAATCACTACAGAAAAATATTGTTCCTGGGCTGTTGCGATGGGGTTTTTTTACTCATGTGGTTGGCCAATCTTCGCGTACGGCTCGGAGGCCACCGCCACACGAGTAAAAAACCCCAACGCAACAGGCCGGAAATAGTATATTTCGTAACGAGCTAAAAAACATTTTTTCACGAATTACGAACAATATTTTTCATCACAATGTGGCGGAAATTGGACTTTTAGGCACGCGGAGCGTGCCGAAAAGTTCACTTTTCGTCACAGCGTGATGAAAAAAAAGATTTCGAAATATGAGTAAGGAAAGAGTTACGCGACCCTACACAGCACTCTCAAGCCCACCGCGCGTCGCAAGCAGAGAGCGCTAGGGGTGACCGGAACAAAGGGGCGGGCGGGGCGCAGTGGGGTACTCATATTTTTTTTCGGAAATGGATCATTGATCAATCAAAACAATGTGGTATTTACATTGGAGATAGCAAAAACACTAATTTCAAGTTGAAGCATAAACAAACTCATTGAGAATTTTCTCAATTAAAAAAATCAACTCTTCTGATGATGAACATGAAATTGAAGAAAAAGAATTGTCTTATGGATACCCTATCGTGTCCCAAATTAAAAAATCGATTCATCGGGACCTTTTCAACCGATTTCCGAATTTTTCTGTCGTGTTTTGGAGATTTGAGGGTGAAAAATAAAGAAACAACATTTATAATTATTTTAAAGTTTTTGGACACTACCCCAATGTTCCCCTCCCGCGCCCTGAATGTCATATGTAACATATAGACAGCCCTAATAGAAGTGAATTATTTGGAGAATTCATTCATTGATAGCTGGAGATGAAGAACATCTTGCGAAGGCTTTGTACGAAGCGGCGAAGATGCAATTGTCTGCAGATAATATCAGCGAAGCTCTTCAGAACTTTTCCAAATATTTAGCAATAGTTGAGACAATCCCAGATCCAAATGGGGTTTGCAATGGTTATAAAGAACTCGCATCTGTTTATAAAGTAAGTTAGTACAGAATTATGTATAATTATATATAATTTGATACGATTCTCTCATCGTTAATGACTCTGGAATGTTTTCAGGTGCTGAAGGATGTTGAAGGAGTCAAACGACACTTGGTTTCATTTAAAGAACACGCGGAGAAGTCGGGATTGGCTGCGAGACTTGCAGATGCCCATTATTGCCTCGGAGAATTTGAATTGGAACAGGTGAACGATAAGGCACTGATTGCATTGCCACCTTTTATCAAAATCACTTTGCAGTGTCTCAAATACAGTCATAATAACTGCTCCAAGATTGTGGTGAGGCATGGGTTTGGTATTGTTCAAAGATTCTGTGCGAGTCATTTGTTGTTATTTGTTTGTTCTTTTCTTCTTGAGTTTCTTTGCTCCCTACTCTTTACCATGAACTTGGTAGAAAAAAACATCGTTCGTTTGATTTTTTTTTCTGAAATGTGAAAAAGATGGAGTAAAAAAAACATGAAAAATTATTGTCCAAGAAATTCCCTAAAATATTTAAAAAACGGCAATATCTCGAAAATTTTCCATGAATGGGTATAGATATTTTGAGTGGTCTAGATAGAAGCCGTCGAGACGAATATTTTGAGAACAAAAAATCAAATCTATTAAGTAGTTTCGGCGATAATTAACAAAATATGTTTACACAAAAGGTTGCATATCTCAGTAACCACTTGGCCGATTGCGCCTATCCAAAATAACAACCTTTAGTATTATAAGAGCTAGAATCATACCAAATTTCAACTTGCTACCTCCTTTTTTTCTCAAGTTATCGTGCGTACACGATTTTTCATAAAAAATAGAAAAACGGCAATACCTCCAAACTATGTATTAAAGAATCTATATATTCTGATTGACTTACATAGAGGTCATCGAAACGAGTATTTTGAAAAAAAATTGGAATCGGTGCAGTAGTTTTTGAGATATTGATGAAAAACAAAATTTAGACAAGTTGTTATATCTTAGGAACTACTGGACCGATCGGACTAAAACATTAGCGCGCCAAAGTTGAGCCCATGATTGAGTGACAAATACTCAAGACAATTCTACTCATTATGAATTTTTAAGGGTCGACCAAGTTCTGCGACTCCACATTTGACCTTCGCTTTTGAATCATATAAGAAGTTGGAGATGGTGAAAGAAATGGACAAAGCAAGATTTCTCGCTGGAGTGTCCAAAGGTAAAAACGCATTGAAACGATAATGGTATTCTGGTACAGTTACGCTTGACTATGATACTAGGTGAAGAGTTGAAAACATCATATCTGGCCATGATAGAGAAGTGCAAGGAAAATGATGCAGAAGCCTTCAGGAAACTCTTAGAATGGACACATAGGCGAACGCCGTTCTGGACCCTCTAACATTTTCTATTTTTAGTCTGTACCCGAGTGTACCTGGAAAAATGAATAATCTTTTGCCGAACCATTCCAATATCATGTGATGAAATTCAAGTGAATATGTAGAATTGAAATCAAAGAGTGATTGCTATGTTTTTAGATATAGACAATGATGGGTGGATAGAATTTGGCTGCAGATTGCTCAAGAGTTGAAATCACAATGCATTCAACACGAAAATAAAAAAAAAATTCTCAGAATATTATTATTCTCACTCATTAAATTGATAAAATTGTTGTTCAAACTTCCCAGTGACTCAAGATATATAGGCGTTTCTATTTCACCCTCGATCACTCGCTCAATGAGCGCGGCACGTCCCGTTTTTGTTTTTTTTATAAATATTTTAGTGTTTCTCTACGCTTAAAAATTCTGAAAAAATTGGAGTTCCTAGCTCAATGCTTTTATTAAGCGGTGGCGTTATTTTTTTTCTCAGGAAATTTGTTTAACTAAAAAAAGAAAAGAAACGTCGAACGGACAGAAAAACGACGCCGCGCCGCCCGGTGCGAGTGAGTCCCTGTCGACTCCTTGAGCGACAGTATTGCTACGTTCACAGCCACACTTGAAATGAGCACATAGTGGTATAGTATAAGCGCTAAGGTGGCAACTGCGCGCTCGGTTTAACCCAGCGGCGCTGCGCTAACCGTGCGACGGATCAAGGCTGGCAGCCGAGCGCAAGTGATCGAGGGTTTAAAAAGATGTGAAAATATTTACTTCGTCCCATGAACTATTTAAAAAGTGATGAAAAATTTTATTAAATATTATTGACGATACTACTCATAACGATAATACTCATTTGAACTATCGACAATGATGAATTATATTTGAATTCGCAACAAGTCACTGGCGAATTCGCTAGACAATTTTATTGAATTTCTACTGAACTTTTTATTAGTTTTTGGCCCATTCTATTAAAATGTTCACCAAAAAACATGCCATAGAAAAAGTCAATAGAATTCGATTGTTCTACACGACTTATTCCACTGAGATATTTTTTAAAGAATTTTCTCGGCTCAAATGTTTCAAGTTTTTTTGTTTGATTTCCTCGATGAAAAGAAAAGAAAAATAAGAATGAAGAAACTTGGAAATTTTGAGCCGAGGAAATTCTATAGAAAATATCTCAATAGAATAAGTTGCATAGAAAAATTGAAGTCTGTTTACTTTTTTATAAAATATTTTCTATTGAACATTCCAATAGAATCGGCCAAAAACTAATAGAAAGCTCAATACAAATCGGGCCGCAAATTAACCCTCTACGGTGAAGCGCAATAGGGCGCTCGAGTGGGGACGCTACCATTCCGCTTGGACGGTCGTAGAGTGGGGATATTGCAATTCAGCTTAGGGGGTTAATATTCGCCAGAAAAGTTTCTTGCGAACTAGTGACGAAAAGTACTATTTTAATCAAGGAATTAAATAAGCTATCATGCTGAATCGTACTGTCTTGCGGTTTCATTGTTTCACCATCCTTGGAAATGAGAGTGCTGAAAATCACGGATGTTCTCCATAAGTGAAACTGTAGTCGGTAAAAAAGGTAATTGCTTGTCCATTCTTTTTTACCGGCAATTCTTCGAAACTCAGATAAAATTCTCCCGGCATCCAGAAACTCGATTTTCACAGTCAATCGCGCTCTGTTTTCGCGGACGTTTCGGCATGAGATTCCGATTTTAAACAATAATAGAACTTTTCCTACACGTCGATGAATCATTTCCATTCAGTTAATGCAAATCAACACATGGTCTACAATTCTAAGTCATCGCGAGATACTTTCAACTGTCATTGGAAGTATTCTGTTGAAATAATATAAAATACAACAAAGTGCCAATTTATGTGTAATAGAAAAATTCAATGAAAAATGACTCGTGAAAGTAATGGATTGATCGGTGATATAGAGAAGAAACATGCAAGGAGCGTGCGATATTTGATTAGTGAAAAAACTCTCCATCAATTGAAACATGTTGCTGGACCGCTGGCCCTGTTGACAGCGTTGATGATCTATACCGCCCTTGGTGGTCTGGTACTATAAAATTCACAGAAAATAGAAACAGAAAATTCACCAATTCCCCTACGCATTTTCCTTTTTTCTCCGTAATGTAAATAATGCATATAACTTCTCATTCCAAAGAATTGAAAATTTCGTCAGTTTTTGGTAAACATACAATGTAAGGTCATTTATAAAGTTAAACAGACAATCGGCGGGCAAGAATTAGTGTTTCCAGCTGGAAACACAGCAACCAGCATGTAATTCTTAAAGCTGGCTTTGTTCCAAAATTACCAATTGGATCATTCAAATATAACAGTTGCGAGGTAAGGATGAAACAAGAGAAATAAAGAATTTAAAAGCGAAATTCTTCGCCGTACAGTCGACGGGGGGTTCGCACTTTTCGATCGGTCTGTATATAGGTAATTGATTTAGCCGATGACACGAGTTTAGAATGTTGATTCTGATTATTTTTAATGACCCCTCTGAATAGTTCTGTTTCTGTTTCTCCTTCTCCTTCTTAATTGAAATATATATCGAATGGTTCCTTGAAGTTTAATTTTTTTTTCAGATTTTCAGACAATTGGAACTACCTTCCGAAATTTTGAACTCAGGGAGAGTTAAAGCTGACCTTACAAGGAAGAGGAATCATTTAGTAAATCAAATTTTAAATGAAAGAGATACAATTAATTTCAAGCAAGTGGTAATTGAAAACTAAACATTCTCCGTTTTCGACGAATGCGAAGTGTACAGGCCAAGCCAAAGGCGAGGTCTGTATTCGAGCAGTTCCACGCCAAATCAGCACGCCAAAAAAGTCGATCCTGGGGATTTTCGACTCAATTTTTTTCTGGAAAAATGACTATCAGACAACAATTATTAAAAAATGGAAAAGTATAGATAATTGAGGGAATTATGATTTTTTAACACTTGAAACAATTCCAGTTATGTATTTACTAGGGCACTTTGCCCCCTGTTCACTCCGCTCGCTAACCCGGGAGCCTACGCCCGCAGCTCGCTGCTTGATTTGTCGTGGATCTGTGCCCCGTGGTGGCACCAGTTTTCGAATGGGACCCAAATAGCCGAATTTGGAGCGACCGTGCGGCATAATTTCGAACGATTAAATATTCAAAGGCATCGAAGTCCATTTTCATTGTTTTCCTCTCAATGTGCAGTTATACACGAATTCAGCACGAATTACAATATTTATATGCATTACACAGAGTGCAATAAATTCTTAAAATTCCATTTATCTGGGGTGCTCGATTAACTAACACTATTAGTCAACAAACGGATTAGTCACTAATCTGTTTTTCAAGCAGTTTATGTAGTGCACAGACGGTTGGATTCAGTCACACTCCATAAGGATCTGGAGACAAAATGTAAGCAAAAAATTGATTTCAATCAGTTTCTATGAGTAGAGGGATAATTTTTGAATCGATACAGATTGAAACAAATGAAAAAATTATATAAATCTCTAAGAAATATGTCATTCAAGTTTGGGTTCATAGAATACGAGGCGGGAGGACTTGGCGAATGTATTCTTTCTAACCTTATAACCGATTTCTTACCTATCTAGAATAAACGTGAATTGAAAATTCAACAGGGGACTACTAAATGAGAAGATGCCATCAAAAAAGAAGAAGCTAAGAAGAAGAGTCTTAACGTAGTGACGAAGAAGCTTCTTCGCCACAACGTTGCTCCAACAGTTTCCCCTTTCCCTTTGCAGAACGCGGTGACGGGGGTACAGAGGAAGAGAGCTTATGCGCTAGTCTTTAATGAGGTTTTTAATGCTGAAATAACAATAATTGCTCTAGATCTTTTTCATAACCATTTCCTAAATTTTCTTCGCCCAAATCCCTTTAATTCGCTTTATTCGAAAACTGCGCCGACGTTATTCGACAACTGGGGTGGGTATGTTGGTTTTGGACATTCGAAATCTGGGTTCGGGGCACTATGTTTTATTTTCGCGAATATTCATCTAATTCATAACTTTTTCAATCAAAATCGAGTGTCTTTCTATCGGAAAACCATCCGAATTGACTTCTAAAAGTTAATATTTCACATTTGACAGGAAAAGACAAATAATCCGATATTAATGGGGGGGTACCCGTTAACTATTCGAAAACTGGTGCCACCACGGTATTCTCATTCGTTGAAAATTGTTACTGTAACGATTTTTGTTTGTGTCTATCAGCTTTTCGATCTATAGATGGAGTATCTATAGTAATCTCGAAAATTGAATGTCGAAGTTTTAGGATATCTCCATACGTTTCATTGAAAAATCTAGAACATCGCTGAAATGTTGTTCAGAATCTAATCACCTGTCAATTACATAGATAGGTGTCGATTGCTTAACAAAAAATAATTGAATCGTTCGTTCCAGAGAATTTGTTGTGTAAACTTTTTCTCATATATGGACGTACGCACACACACAATACTCTTCTAGAAAATTCATAGAAAGTTTCTAGAGGTCATGAAACGTGAAGATATCATGAAATTTCCGATTTCCATTTTCGAGGCCATTACAATAACTATCCGATATAAGTCCTGAAGTTAAAAATAGAGCAGTGATCGGGAAGGTGTCGGTTCGACCCGTGATGGGTTACACCCACTCCAAATCATGTCTAATAGTCGTACTTTAACTGAATGTAATTCAGTGAGCAGTCGGTTTCAATTTTTTTAAATTCCAGATTGAAGTAGAATTACATTCTTATGAGAATGCTGTGCAAACAGCTGCCCAGGGAGGATTTCTGATTAGTTCACTGACTGAAATTGAATCTTTTAAGGATTTAAAAGATGGAGACATTATTGACTTATCATCCGCAGTGACAGAACGATGGAGTATACTTCAGGCGATGTTTTTCGCCAGTACTGTACTCACAACAATTGGTATGATTTTCCAAAGTTTTTCCGCAATGTCAGTGGGGCATAAATATGACAAAACTCAGTAAAGGCTTCGACGCTCTGAAGAAAGGAGGAAGCTCTTCAGTATAATGCCAATTATATATTTTATGTCATCCTTTGCAATAGATACCGGCATAAATTTTGTTTTCAACGAATGTGAGTACAAACCGCGCCGTCGGTTCACCCTATAAAGTTCACATTCGTGGAAAACGGCATTTGCGCCTTAATGCTCTAGTGTACCACAGTAATTCTGAAAAAACAATAACAGAATATAATTCGAAGCTCTTCAACACCCCGCAAGGCATCTGAAAATTAATCCCCTTTGCACATATTTTTCGAACGTGCTCCACCGATCTAAATGACTACTTGTGTCTCAGGCTACGGGAATGTTGTCCCTTTGACCGACTGGGGGCGGGTATTTTGTATCTTCTACGCCTTTGTTGGGATACCATTGACGCTGACCGCAATTGCTGCCTGGGGTAAACTCTTCGCCGAAACAGTGAACAACCTTGCAGACAAAATGAGAAGAAGATTACCCCCTCTCATGACCCGTTTAATCCCTAGTAATAACACGGGTCGCAGGTCTTTAGGTAAATACTTCTTGTCGCCTTTTAATATTAATGTCATTGTGCTAATCCCTAATTTCTATTATATTATTTCCGAACAAATTTAAGCTGTGAAGAAACGAAGTAGAAGATGAGTTTCAAATCCAGAGTCATTGGAACAAATATAGAAATACTTGTTTGGCAAGGTTCAAAAGAAAATCATAGCGTATTCCCTAGGGTATACTGCGATGATGGTCAAGACTCTAAAGTAGCTCTACCCTTACGGTAAATTCCAAGATTATTGAAAACTGCAAAAAAATTGCAGAAAACTCGATTAGATTCGGAATTCCAATTTTTATTCTCAATTTAATTATCGTTTTGGTTTTTCAAAGAAGAAATGTTTAAAAATCAGGATTTAACCCAGTGTCTTATGTGGAAATCAACATTTCCATTGTAATCAAAGATTAAAATCTGAATTTTTTTTCATTAGATGAGAAAATATCAAGAATTTTTTTGACACCTCATAAAAAATAATCCAACGTTTTGCAAAGAAGTTTTATTATTTATTTATAAGAGGGAAATATTTGAAAAAATATCAATATTTTGCGAAATTTAATTTAGATAATACTGACTGGGTATGAATGTCTTCAAATTTTTTCCATGCAATTTAGTTGGAAAATTTAAAAATTAAAAATATTCAAAAGTATACATAGAATAGCCCGGCCGAAGGGTAGAGCTACTTTAAATGGTTAGATCTCACCATTCTACTCGGCCGGGTTTTGAACACTTGGAACTGTTTGCATGTGATCCGTAGACGATAGTTCAACTTTTCTGGAAAATATTTAGGAGAAAATCATCACTCGATTTTGATTCTCCTATTAATTTAATTCAGCCGATATTTTCTATTGGTTAGAATTTACTGTTTTTTCCACTGTTTTCTCGGTAGGCGGAAAAAAACTTATAACGAGGCATCATTTTGTCGCCTATTGCACAAATTTACGTGTTCCTAGAGCCATCGAACATTTTTTCCTTCGGCTATTTATTCGTAGAGTCATATTCTGGTCGGTTCCTCATTCAAAAATGATGATAAAAAAATTTGTAAATGTACTGAGAGAGTAAAATTCATATTGCTCAGACAGTACAATCTGCCTGAATGCAAGCATTTTCTTGATTGACTTAACAATATCATCATTGAGAAGAAAAAAACCGGATATTTGCAAACCAGAATATTGATGAATCATAAACATTGATAAATGATGATTAATTTTCAGGCGCATTCGCCGCGGTAGTTCTTCTCTTCATTTATTTATCCTGTGGAGCGGCAATGTTTATGTTATGGGAAGACGATTGGAATTTTTTCGACGGGTTTTACTTTTGGTTTGTTACAATGACGACAATTGGTTTTGGAGATCTCGTTCCAAGTAAATGATTCAAGAGGCTAATTCAAAATATGCGATAATTGTATAATACTTCATTGAACAAATAAATAATATTTTCTTTCTTTTTTGTGCTTTTCAGAGAAACCGAAATACATGCTTCTGTGTTCTTTGTACATACTTGTGGGCTTAGCTCTTACAGGAACTATAATTGAACTCGTAAGAATGCAGTACAACCAATCGTGGCAACGTCTGCAAGCTTTGCGGGGGCCCGTAGTCGAGGCGCTAAAAAAATTAGGGGAACAAGCCGGTGGAGATATGTCAGCGTTACAATTGGATTTGAAAAAAATTTTGGCTGTCGCATCATTGCCAAAACTTAGGAAGAGAAATGGTAAAGAAATGGAGCATACTGAGTGGGAAGAAGCTGTTCAAGCTGTGCTAAAGGAAATTGAAGCGTCAGCCTCTCAGAATCAGAATCAAAAAATCGTACGAATTATTATTTACGAGTCTAGTGTTTGAAATGTATAACGTTGAGAATGAAAATATTGATGGTTTAAGTATCTGAATTTATCATGGGTATATAGCATTCGACATTATACGACATTACACAATATCGAGATACGCGGTAGAGTATCGGCCAAGAAAAGTGTTGACTCCAACTGGACAAAACATCAGGCCGATCGCTGCGGTGTACACGAAGCTATACACGAAGGAACTACCATATCCATTAAATAAAATACAAACGTGACGAGCTATATGAAAAATATTCTTAATTACATTATATGAATCGGCCACAAGCTCCTCATTGATGTAACAATTTTTTTTGTTCGAAGCAATAGTTGAAAAAATACGCGCACAGCAACGGGTTCATATGCACATACTATACATTGTATTTATATTCTCGGAGTCTAAGAATTGACTAATTGAATTTGGTACATGAATGATAAATTCCACAGATATTTTTCAATTGAGTTCCGTGTATAAATAAATTCTCAAAGAAGTAAAGGAAGTGGGAAAATCTTCAATAAAAAATTGAAAGTCGGTGGAAAGGATGACTGTGGAGTAAAACTATTTGGTTTGCTTCGATTGTTAATTGGAAAGACGATCTAGCGTGTCAAAAATAAATGAGCCGAATTAAACTGAAAATAAAAATATTTACAGGATATAAAAACGATTCCTTGCTTATTTTGAAAAAAATAATGAAATCTCCTTAAAAAAACGAAAACAGATGTTTTTGTAAAAAAACTGCATCATGAAAAAGTTTTGTTCAAACCTTTGAACTCCTAAGAATTTGAATTGCCACAGGAAATTATTGAAGATTCCAGAAATTTGATCATCCCTCTACTAATTACCTAAACTTATCTTTCTTCAGGAAAATCATGACATTTCTGAAACGATAATGAAATTTCAACATTCCTGTCATATATTCTGGGGTTCAGAAGTTTTCTGGACAAAAAAGGAAAACCAAATAATTCATAACATTTTCAGAAGATAAAATATAGCTACAACAACTATGTGGACTTCCGTAAAACGTGGCCTCTAGTAACTCTTTCTGAAATTTTAAATGAAAAATCGGTGAGGGAATTCACACTACTGTATCTAATGTATTCATCGATGTGAGAGGACGAAAAGCAAAGTTTATACACCTCACTTACGTCCCTTCGACTCCATGGTCACGAATGAATTTGCATGATAATTTTATTTATTAACTTTTTTTATAATTCTCGAATAAACAGGAAGGGAGGGAAAGAGATCATTGTTATCGTTTTTCTTGGTGTGATTCTTAGAGGACAGTCTCAATATTCTTTAATATTATGGGCAACCCCCCACAAGTATTTTTCATCGAATATTGATTTTTATAGAACAAAATTTCGGGGAAACACTTGGTTAATTCGATAGAAAATTTTATTGCATTTCTATTGCACTTCTATTGAAAATTCTAGTAGTCTTTGGCAGTCTTCAAAAATTTTGAAGTTTAGCCCTGAAGGTACCTTTCTGAAATTATAAACTGAAATTTAAAAAAAATAAAAGAAAAAATGAAGTCTTTTTTATGGCATTGAATCGCATTGAATTTTTATACTTTGCAGACATTTCAAACGCCAAAAGAATATCGCGCTCACAGAATTCTATTCTCGACAAGAATTCAAAACCAGACGAGACGAGACCACAAGCGTCTCGTTTTATTGACCTAAGAAACCGACACAAGAGACAGATTTTGTCGCAGCCGCCAATACGAGACCAGACGGTTCTCGCCACATGTCGACACAATACGAGAGGGCAGCCTACTCTTGCCTTGTCTTGTCTGGCGATATCACTGTTCGAATCGGCCGAAAAATAATGGAAGGTTCAATAGAAATTCAATCGAATTTTCTACCGAATTCGCTAGATTTTTCTATAAAATTTGTTCGTATGTAAAATAAGAGAAGATCTTATTCGATACAGCTTAAAATGCTTAAATTAGCAAGCGTTCTTTTTAAAAACTAATTTATAATAGGACATTACAGTACAAGGGTACAAATTACATTTTCAACGAATATTGTTGAAAACGATATTGATATTGTTAAAAACTCATATTTGTTGCAAAAAAGTATATTCCCGAGTGAATTAGCATAATTCGCCACACGGCCGAAAAAATTTGGTGCAATTCGTAGTATATTGATCGTTTAGTATGGTTGATAAGAATTAATGAAAAACTAGATTTTAACACAGAGTCCTATGGGCAACATTTTTGGGTGGTTTTTATGATAAATCCAAGATTAAATTATTTAAAAAATGCCAAAAATGGGAAAAAAACAAAAATTTACGACCATCGATGAAAATTATTGACCGTTTGGGACTTTAGTTATAAATAATTTCTGCTCCTCGGTGTTTGGAAATTGCGTGTCGAGTAGATGCGGCAACGACGCGTTAGTGGAGTGAGAACAAGCGGGCATTTCAAATCTCGTTTTCCCTACGCTGTTAAGTTACAGCGTTGCCACACATAAAACGACGCTAGTCAAAGGAGGTACATTATTTGACTAATAAGTGAAAAATAATAAAAATAAAATAAAAATAATCGATTAATTCTTATATTCATAAATTTTATAATACACAAAGAGAATTTTCAATTATAAATCATAGTTTTTTGATTAATTTTGTTAGATTTTCTTGACGGACACTCAACGATCGCTTTGGAGAGTAACCATTCTACTTTAAGCACGCTGCTCAAAGTGCACCAGGCGATAAACTAGACTTATAGCGCGGAGTGATATAAAAGTATAAAGATTGATATAAGAAAAGTTCAAGTGCAAATCCTCAGTCATCAACTAGAAACATAGGTTTAAATCCGTGAGGTGTTGTTTCCAACCCAGGTGGTCGTTTTTATTTAAAACTTTTACATGCCATTGAAAGGATTGAAAAGGACACCACCAAATCACAGCAATTAGTCCAGTGAAAGAAGGTCTGAAAGACATGGTTCTGCGAAACAGCCTGCTTTTTTGTGTAAAAATCAATTGTTGACTTATAATCAATATTCGGGGCTAATCAAGGTACTCACCCTCCGTTAAGGGGTGAAAAAAAAATGAAAATTACCCCCAAAAAAGTGTTTTTCTGAAATAACTCGAGAAATACTCGAGCTACGATGTGAAGCATGAAAAACAAAATTGTAGAGCGCAAAATTCTCTACAAAAAAGATCTTGACCACTTCACCCCTATTTCGCGTCGTTCATCCCCCAGAGCCGTTCACAAACTCGGGGTGAGAAAAATTTTAAAAAACATTCAAAAACAATTTTTTTTTAAATTTTCCCGTCTTATTGAATGTTTAGAAAGGTTCAAGCTTCAAGTCTCATTTTTTTACCCCATTGGGAAGCAATTTTCACGGAATTACGACCTAAAATTCATTATAACTTTTTTTCCAATCGATGAATTTTTTTTTTTTTTTTCATAAATTTTATTATAATATTTCCGACAATTTTTGTAGGAAACATTTTCATGTATCTCCTACAGGGATAAAGTTTAACGCAATTCTCTATTTCTACCCCTCCAGGTAGGCTCTATCGGAGAACCCCTGGTGAGAGAGAACCATGTGCCCTATGTCGGCACCGCTCGCACGCACACGAGCCTCTCTCCGACTCAATGCGCTTGCGCATGACGTCACCGAGTAGTCTGTTAGAGCGTCAACACGTGGAAAAGTAGAGTGAAGA